TAACTACACACTTTAGCTCCGCTCTCTACCTTGCTAGGATGTACCTTCGCTGTCTTGCTTGCTATTGAAATAGTATCAAAAATGTAAGTGTTCTGTTATTTTCTTCCTTCACGTTCGTACGGGGTTCGTAGATTTGGAGTGAATAACGACGACACTTGATGAAGCATCGAAACACACTTTATTTACCAATATTCTCAGGACAGCTCCAAAATACTGTCGTCTAACTGTTATAAACACTCTGACACGTTTAGCGACACAGCCTTCATAATTTCAGGCAATAACGGTGGAGACAGCTTCACTGCAAAGCACCAGAGTACAGCTTCCGACTCTGTTTAATCGTTCTCGGAACTCCACGTACTCTAGAGACTGTCCACGCGATGCACAAGGGTATAGGTCTCGACTCAGCACAGTCTAAGACAAAATTCGACGATGCACTAAAAGACTCTCTCGATGCACTCGACGACCAACTCGGCGGTAGACTTCGAGACGCCCGCTCAATGACTGACTATCAGCTCGCTAGACGAGGCACACACACTCAATACTACTACCTCTCCGCGTACCAGCAGGGTTTATATAGCTTTCGGCTTGTGTTCGAGAACATTCTGGGCTAAACCGGTTAGAATTCCTTCCAGAAGGGGCCCACCAGCGGCCGAGCGTCGTCGCTGAACACTGGTAGTTCGGTCCGAGGTTCGAATCCCGCGAACGGGCTGGCTGCATGGGCGTTTTCGTGGTTTTCCCCATATGTAACGTGTATACGAGCCAGTTTCCTTTAGAAAGTCGTCCACGAAGGCATCCCTCCTCTTAGGCAGATAGCCCTCGAGGCTTAGCCATAGTCACACACACACCTTCCAAAAGGTTCTCCAACCGTCCATGGTATATCGCAAATTTTGTCGCCAAATGGGCGATTTCTCGCCAAATGTGGCAACCCTGCCTCCCCCCCGCCATTTTATGGCAACTCTAAAACTGCTTTGCGGGGAAGCCATCTTACCGCGCCTTGACATTTCGTAACAATATGTTAGTCAAACGATGACAAGTTTTAACAGGTTCAAAATTGTATTGTTTTAGTAAATGCGTCATACTGAATTTCACGCATACTCTTAATGCCCATGAACTTATAGACAGACCCGATATTATTCCGCTTGCACATAAATTTCCGTATGTTTTCGTGCTGCTTATTATTTACATATCCTGCCATACTCTAGCCATCACGCAAATTTCCGGTCGATCAGCTGTGGCCTTCTTGATGCTGCAATTTTAATGGCCAGTCGCCATATTACTTAAAAGCTATTCGCAACTGTTAAAGGTTTTCCTCCTTTTTTTATTATTATTACCTGAGAGATAACAATGGCCCGTCATTCATTCATTCAAAATATGTTTTGTAACTCATATTCTATCTTATTTCCTTTAACTTAAAGCCGCAAGGTTTCTTCTTTGTGCTAATTTTCAGTACTTTTCCCTCTCATTAGCTCCGCAATTTAGCGTCTGTGGTACATCGGCTTTGATTTCATTTGGAATTTACAGATTTCCTTGCCATCTAGGTTAAAAACAGGATCTTAGAAAAAAAGGAACAGCAAAAACGTATTAAATACGTACTTAATGTTTTAATGTAGAATTTCCTATACACAGTCTTGCGTGCTGGAGATAAAAATGTTTTTTTTTTCTTCGTACAGTGTTGCCACCGATTGCTTTGAAATCGTTTAGTTTGTTAATCAAAAATTCATTGAAGTGTTACAAAATGTGAAATCGATAATAAAACAGATTTAAATTTGGGCTTCCACATGCCCATATTCTCTGGAAGATCTCAAATTTTGATGGCTCTAGGTATTGTTTATCATAATCCAAGAAACATACATAGATTCATGCAGATTCTTCATTATTTAATTTCTTTAAATATAATACAGAGTTGTAATATTTGGTTGCAGCAATTTGAAAAGTGAAACAACGCTTATTGTGAATCGAAGCAAAATGCCAAAACGAAATTGATAATCCTTCTAGGCAAATTGCCCCTTTGGACTAGTAATAATAATTAAACTTTGAAATTCCCTCAACGGACTTTTTCTTGCCGAAGATAAGTTTTTCTGCTTTTCTTTCCCCGTTTTCTTGAACTTTAAAAAACTTTTTGGTGTCTAGCAAAGTAAATTTAATGCATTAAAATAAAGTGTTCCGACTAAGAATAGCTCTGTTAATCTAAGTTCCAAAACTTGTCTTTAAATTAAAAATAAATATCTATTGATATGACTATCTTGTCAATGGTGACATTATTCTACAAAATTAACATTTAATTTTTCATTCTCTTTATCAGTAACTCATTAAGTGTGTTTTATATGTACATTTCTCTATATATGTATAAAAATAATATATAAAATCTGTATCCCTTAGAAAATAGTGGAAAAAGTATAATTAGCCCAAACCGGCGATAAACAAATAAATGCTTTACAAAATATGAAATACGTAGATAATGAAACGAATTCCAAATGCCAAATTTGGGCTTCCAGATGCCCATATTCGGGGGGAGACTTACGTTATTCAAACCTGGATGACTCTAGGTACCGTTGTTTCATCGCAATGCGAGAAGCATACATACATTTATGCAGATTCTTCGTTATTTCATTTCTTTAATGCATGGCTCTAATATTTGGTGGCAACAATTTAAAAAGTGATTCGCCGTTTATAATGAAGCAACGCAAAATGCCAAAACGAAATGAATAGCCCTTCTGGGCAAACTACCCCCTTTGGGCTAAAAATGGCTTTATTTTTTTAAAGTAAGGTATCCTTTTTTACTTCCTTGTACGAAGTAAAAAGGAAGTATTGTAATCGCGAAAAGCTTCAGGCAGCATATTTCAACGAAAATATCCATTTTGACCGCTTTCGAATGCAATTTAACGATGATTTTGCGTGATATCTGTACGTAAGGACAGAATAAAGGACTCTTTTCCTCTAAAAAAACTAAAAAACTGCTTTAAAATGAAATGTGAAGAGAATTTTTCGTGGCGTCTGTACGAACGTATGTACGTACGTGCGTATCAACGTACGTACGTACGTGCGTACGTACGTATCTCGCATAACTCAAAAACGAGTAGCCTCAGAACGTTAAAATTTTGTCTATAAGGACTACTATAACATGTAGATGTGCACCTCGTATTTTGGTTTCAATCGGCGGCGCAACGTATATAAATATATTTATAAATATATCCACTCTGTTACCCGGTTCATTGATCTCAGTTTCTTTACTCTTATATGTTTGTAAATTGTACATTTTTTGCTTTAAAAATGATTGAATTATGTAGTTTTTATATTCCGGTTAAGGATTTTATGCCTTTAGTAAATCTGTATGCAATATTTTTAGGATTATCAACAATTTTAAAATTGTTTAAGTGCCGCTAAGCCTAATTTGATGGCGGCCATTGATGTTTACATTTTAAACAAGAGACTAGTGGATTTGTTCCCAATCTAGAGAAACTTAGCTTCGCAACAAAAAAGATAACGCATTCATTTATTATTTCCAATTAAATCATGCTTAATCCTTTCTTGAATTTTTTCGAGGAAATAAGCGTTTAAGATTTACTTCGTAATTTTTAATACATATATTTTGAGTTTTTATGTATTTTTGCCTTTTCTCGAAGTGAGAACTGAATTAATTGAATGAGAAATACTCAATCGTCTGTGAAAAACTGTTTCTTTTTTGTTTTGTTTGCTTAATTTCTTTTATACATCGTTCTAGCTTTATTATAGTATTTGAACAGAACATGTGGCAACGATTAGATAATTCTTTAAATGATATAAATTTTGGGCATTCAGAGTTATAATATGAACGAAATATAATACTGTTAAGTAAACCTAGCGCCAGAGTGTCGCTATGGTAAACAAAGTGAATTTTAAAGAATGCATTTATTCTATTATGGTTTATGCGCTGTCGGCGAAGCAGGTTTAATTCAATCTAATAAGTTTAAATAAAATGCAAGAAAAAATGCGTATAATTTTATATTCCGTACAAGGAAGTCATGTGGTGTACACATCAGATTTTTTATCTATTGTAAATCTTTAGCACAACAAATTTGGTTATATATGTAGAATATGAGATAATTAATAATATAGTTTAAAGATAATTCACTAGTTCAGCAGCAATCAATTGTGATAGAATAACTGTAACTTCTTAAGATCATATTTCAATAGTGTTAGGATAATCTAATGATATTATACATATCAATATATTGACTATACTTTCAGGATTGTTTATTGAGGAGCTAAGCGATAATCACTACAAGTAGAAGAGAAATTTTTTTTTTTTCGTTTAAAATTAACTTTTATTATTTATTTCACAAACTTTTCTTAACTCATATGTATGGAACTATGATATTTACGTTTTGATAGATGATATTTATGTTTGTTATATATTCTTTTCATAACTATGTATCATATTATTGTATTATATTTGACTATAATAATAGTAATATTGTAGAGATATTAGGATTTTTGGAAGCAAGAGAAATTAAAAAGTAACAACGCCTTCGCCGGGAATTGAACCACGGACATCTGGTATACCGGCCCAATGCGCAGACCACCGCACCACGAAAGCACGCCAAGAAGGTGGAAGAAATACCTTATAATATGAGCTAAATGCGAAATTTATAAGTGTACAAATTACATGAAAAAGTTATGTAACATAATAGCAAGAAAACAGGGTTTTAATACGAAATAAACTGATCTTTTTTACTCATCACATCCTCCCTAAATTCAATATTATGTCCATCTTCTGAAAAACATTTATATTATTTTTCTGTTAATTATAAAATGTAAGTTTTTCTCACATTACTAAAATATTTACAAAAGGTACCCTATCTACATAATATTTCCATCTATAAAAATGACTGTTTTTGAAAGTACTTTTTTTTTTTAAAATTTAAATCATGCTAAATGACAATCCGTTTCGAAGACTATCTTATATTCACAAAATATTATAAATCTGTCAAGATATTTCATTAGTTTTCTCTTCTTTTCAGAAGGGTGATTTTTATGTGACATGGCGACTTCTGACCATAAACTAAACAATATGGAGCAAGAAATGCTAAAGCAGGTAATTTTCTGCAAACTGCACAAAAATCTAAATTTACATACTTTTTTTTAAAGTGGTGTATTATTCTATTCAGGGTGAATAATAGCAATAAAAAACTTATTGATATATTTCTTATAAGCAATTTATTAAAAAGTAAAATAACTTCCCAAAGAAAACATTAACAAAACTGTGTTATCATACTAAAATCTTTGTGATAATGCCGAAGTTCCCAGTTCAATCTTATACTTAACCCTTTGCGGCACAGTGTGTCCGGTCTGGACACAGCTAAAAATTTCTTTCTGTACGCACAAAAAAATTGAATGAAAAAGGATTTATAGGTTACTATAGGTTACTCTGAACCTACTTTATTTATAGTAGATGGCAGCTCAATGAATATTAATGAAAACGTGATATTGAAAATGTTCTAACTCTGCAGTCACTTCTGGAAAATTTTAATTTATTTTTTAATTACTTTTACTAACAATCTCAGCTGCATTCGCGTTAGATTTAAATTTTGTTCATTTAAGTTCATTTTAGTAACTTTACTTTGCCTTATTGTAATATATATGTATACGAGAACAACAATCTCTATGTTATTAAAATAACGTTTTGAGAACCAGCATAAATTACACTTTTAATATAAGATGGATTTTGTGTTTTAGAGTTTATGCATTGCAAATGTCTCACATTTTCAAAAAAGGAATATCAAATTCTAATGAAAAAAGTTGTGAATGATATCATAAAATGAAAATTAATCTAAATTGATTCTTTTTGAAAAGATCGCCTTGTTATTTTATATACACTATAAATAAATAATTCCTAACTTTGAATTTTCTTTATTAGTTTCGTAACGCCTTAGACGATGTTTTGACTCCAGAACATACAGATGCCGTATTGCTGAAATGGCTCAGAGGTAAGCTTTTATTGTCTGGATGTTTATTACACAAATTGTTTGATTTCATAGCTTTATAGTAATGGTATAAGGATTATATTGAGCTGCACTGGTGAAGTAGAAGTCAGTTTTTTTTTTCAACTGACCACCTTCGCGGTCTTCTTGTTGGTATTAAAGCAAATTTTGGGTGATGCAAATGTTAATTAACACGAAGAAGAACAAATATTGAGAGTATTAAACAAAAAGAATAAGCTTAATTTACATTAATTTGCAGAACTAGTTTCTAAGGTTAAATAGAATCGTTCTTCAGCTGCACGAGTGAAAATGACGAAGAAGAAGTATGTGTTTCCGTGATAACAATAGATAGAAAATTCAAGAAAGTTCTAGCTAAGGAAAGAAAAGGCTACTAGCGCAATCTATTGATCAAAAGGTAAAACACTTATGAAATAATTTGTTTAAAATTTGAAAGTTAATCCATCTGTACTTTCAGCTTAAATTATATCTGGTAATTTTATTATCTAGCACTTTGCTATGCATATAAACAGTCTGCATTAAAATGATTCATTTCAAAATTTATGGCTAAGGATTATTTAATTAATTATTATCATACCCTTTCTACTTCAAAATTAAATTGTCTTCTTAACGAGCTCTCGCTTGCTCACTTCTCTTAAGCAAAACTCGTTAATATGATACTCTACTGTATGACTAAATTTGCTGAATTCATCGATATATTAAACAAATAGCTATATTAAATGCTACCTCTTTTTACTTACTTCTCTTCGAAAAGTTTATATAAGCTGTACTGAAACACCTTATATGTTTACAGTTATTTAAGTCGTACAGAAATGAATGACACAAATGCTGCCACAGAGCGGAATACAATTTATTAGAAAAAAAAAACTAATAGTCCATCAGGTTAGAAATAATCGCCGCCCATTTCAGTACACTTCTGCCATTTGACTGGGAGACCCCGAAAGGCTTTGGTAAACCAGTCTATGGGATGTTGGTGCACCACCTATCGGCAATTGTATGCAATTCGGCAGAAAATACAACATGTTGGCCCCTGACTACGTCTTTCATGTTGTCCAGCAAGGTATAGTCCGAGGCCCACCCACTTTGCACACAGATTTGTCATCTCCAAATCACCATGCACAATCACCTGCATGTTCCTTGCGCAAGCCCTGTCTCGTCCTGCATCTTGTTGAACATTGTGCGCCTGTTCGCCATAATCAAATCCGACACTGCTGCCACATTTGCTGCTGTATGCGATATTGCTGGTCGTCCCGCGCTGACATCTTTGGCTGTGTTCTCCACTCCACTGCTGAACTTGGCCAACCAACGGAACACAGTACGCCTTGGAGGTGCTTTATTCCCGCACACCGACACCATACGGACGATATGGAATTAATTCACTACGCTGTATCCCTTCCTTCCATAGGAACCACGCTGTCCAACGCTGACCGTGATAATCACCTTAAATCATTGCTGTCCACTCTCTCAATGACGACGGCAAAAGGGACGGGTCCTGACTTATACTGTTCGCTTGCGGCCAGCTCCATTTATGCATTCTGAGTAGCTCACACTCCCTTGTGTCTATTTCACTTCTTTTCCCTTTGCATAGTCTAATAGTTTCATCGCGAGAGCCCTTGTGTCAATCCTTTCTGTACGATCCAAGTACTTTACACTTTTCTTGTGTATTTTTGTGTGTCTGTAACTGTATTTGGCTAACTGAATAGAATATGACTGTTCTTTTTTTTTTATTTTTCTGTGAACGTATTTATGTATGATGCTTTATTCTTGATGCTAATTTTTTCTTTATTCTAGCCCGGAATTTTAATTTGAAAAAGGCTGAAGAGCTCTTTAGACAGGTTAGTTTTTGATAATAGTTAATTTTCTTTGAATGCAGCTTTAGGAATTATGACATAACTTCTTAGCTGTTGTTTAACATGAAGGAGACACGATCGTGCAAAAACTTAACAGTTTTTATATCATGCAGAGTAATATTTTACACTGCTGCAGAGTTGTCAAATTTACAGAGTAATAACTTACCAAAGGTGAATAGTGAATTAAGGAATCTATCATAAATAATTTATAGATAATTAATTAGAAAATAGAAAATTTGCGACCTTTTGATCAGATTTTAAAAATTAAAATAAGTGCTTTATCTCCCTTTTGGTGAAAACTTGACTAATTTTATAGTGCTGGCTCAGTGTATGCTTCTTATATAACACCTTCAATAAGCAAAGATAATTTTCAAAAACATATTCTCAATTTTTTTATTCTCTTTGCTTAAGTGTTTCTCATTATTCCTCTTTCAGTCAATCAACTATCAAAGTTAGTCGTTGGATTTTGGTAACCCTGCTGCTATGCTAAGCACCTGGCTTTTATATTGTTACGAAATGTACAGGCGCGGTGAGGTGGCTTTCCCCGCAAAGCAGTTTTAGGGTTGCCATAAAGTGGCAAGGGAAGGCTGCTCACTTCTGACCCCAGTTGTTACGTTATTTTCCTCCTTCAAGTTCCTACAAGTTGCGAAAATTTGCTTTTTCAATTTCAGTTAAGAGTTTTTAATAAATATCTCGGCTGATTAAAGTCGTATGCAGATGATAATGATCGAAAAGGCTTCCCACAAATTTTTGAAATCCGAGGTTACTTCTCTCGAAACCCAACTCCCCGCCGTTCCGGAGGAGATGATGTTACAGACAAACGAACAAACAGACAGATGCGCACAGATTTTTGATAGTACAAATAAAACGGCCGACCGAGAGGCATACTTTCAAATGAGCAGTTGTTCTATTGCAATGCCAGCTGAAAAGGGACCGGAAATGTATTCCTATTTGTCATCTTTTAAAACACTTCTTTGAGTGATTCTGATACAATCCCGCTGTAGAGAAAACGTGTCCGATTAAGCCATCATTCACTTCTTTTCATTTTCGCTGCATTCTGGATGAAGGGGGGTAGAAAACAGTCTCTCTCTGGAGTAAGGCCCAATTGTGTGCCGTTGCGAACGCTTAATAACATTTCTCAAATCGACTAGTTTGTCAAGGGGCAAACGGTAAAGTGGTTAATGTAATAAGTACAATATGCAATCAATGTCTTTAAAATCTATTGTTTCCATTAAAATAAAATTTCATCTCAAGCTTATAGCTGCTGAAAATTTGGCCAAGTGTCCTGCACTTGAATGTCTTGAAAATGTTATGAAATGTTTACTGACTGTATTAACAATTTAAAGAATTTTAAGAAGGATTAAAATTAATTTAAAGAATTTTGAGAACTGATATCTTAAACAACAAAATTCAGCAGTTTTATCCCAAAAACAACATTACCCTTCAATTTGATGTAGTAAAATGCCCCGAGGATATTTAATATTATGCTTTCTGTAAAGACTTTTGAATTTATTTCAATAAACTCATACTATTGTATTTCAAGGAGTTAATCTTAAATTACATCTGAAGGAAAAAAAAAAAAGGTCTGTTCGATAAACAACTACTTTTAATTCATGCTATCTGAGTTATTTTAAGATAGACAAACAGAAGTATTTTAGATATCTTCCTCATTTGTCTATTGGTGAACATATTGAAATTGTCTAAATTTAAATCAACGCACAATTTAAAAAAATTTTTTACACATGTTCATAACAATTCTTTCCCGTTTCTTAATTTTGCATTCTTTTAGAATCTGTGGGGTAGAGCTGTTTATAACGTGAAGTCACTTTTATCTACCTACAAAAAACACGAGGTAAGTGTACCACACATTTTCATTTAACCTTTCATTATATCTAAATTATGTGTTTATTTTTCTTGAAATATTATTATATACCCTTGATAATACAATTAACAAAATAAAATTGCTAAAATATTTTGTTTTCAAAGATATGCAAATGATGCAAATTTAATTAGCAATCATATATTTCTCTCAGTGTTTCTTTGCATAATTGTAGTTTAGATCTTTATAGTCTAGCAATGGTGGAAAAAATACTTTATCAAAACACTACTAGTTTTAATAATTTAAAAATATTTTTGCTGAATTAGTTTTTTTTTTCTGCAGCAAAGATAATAATATCATTTTAGAGCCTACCAGCGGCAGAGTGGGGAAAGCTGCTGAATACTGATAGTTCGTTCTGGGGTTACAGTCCCATCGAGAACCAGCTCGTTACATTGGCCTTTTCGTGGTTTTCCCCATGTGCAACGCGAATACGAGCCGATTTCTTTTAAAAAGTAAGCCCACGTTGCGTCCCTTCTTTCGATGCATTGCCCAAGGAGAGATTGAAATCAGGGAAGCATGCTGGGTAATCCATTTTTTAGATAACATCATTTTTCATAAGCCTCTCAGCAGCATACGTTCTGCGTAGCTTATGCATTGTCATCCATAAACACAAAGGCGGGACCAATGGCCCCCTGACTCACGTGGAGGAGGATAATGTCATTACAGTAATGATCTCCGATAAGTGAACCTTAGTCGAAAATGTGGCGCTCCGTCCGTCTGTTATCATCATGCCTCTCCATATAACCACGCAAAGACCACTCCAACGGTTTCGTTCCGTGATTCTTTCCCCTAAAGACGAGTACGTGCCTCTACCGGCATCGTCCACTCCTAAGGCCAGATTTGGTGGTCTCTTTATTATGGAGGCTCCTAATAGATGGGCCAACTTTGCCTCTTATGAAGGAACAGACAATTTTTACATCCATGCCTTTCTCCGGGATTCGAACCCTCGTGGTTAGGGTACCCGGGCTCTTCGGTATCACAGTCAGGCTACCCTAACCACTATACCGTCTGGACGGCTCTTTCCCCGGTGTTAGTGGGATGAAAGCATGTTCCTACCTCTCTGGCGCCTTCTTTGCGTTTCCTACACTACAACGATGCCCCTGATGGCTGCTGTCAATGGTATCCAGCGTTCAGGATGGCGAGTGAATATGCCAACTTTATGAAATAATCTTGCTACGAACTGGGACACTTATCATCCGGGTGCAGTGCACAAATGCAAAAATTGTTGCCCACTGTCCGGTTTTGATCTCCTTTTGCTTTCAGAACGATATATCGGTCGCGACTCACCGCTGTGTTTCTTGATTCCACCACCAACAACCTTTCTTACTGCTATACCTGTTGTTTGAAGGCTTTTTCAAGCTCGTGAAACAACCCTTTTATCAATTCCAAACTCTTGGGCGACAAACGTCAAACTACGCCCATCCCCAAACTTGCTAATCCTTCCACCACGTGTAAAGGCGTCCAGATGTTTTCTTGTAGCCATATTGCACGTACACCTTGCACTAAAAAAAGGGTGGGACACTTCTATATCTTCCGTTCCACTGGACCGATTGCTGAAATTTAACTTGCGTTTTTTATATCTCGAAACCACGACTTAAGGTATATATTAGATTTACATGTAACATTGTTCTAACATAGGTATTTTGACACAAAATCCAACTTTTTCTGAAATAATATACAAATTTCTTTCCATATTTCAATTGTACGACTCCAATTATGCTTAGATATTAAATTTGGTAATTTGGTGAAAGATTTATGGAATTTTTTTTAATTTATCTTGGCGCATTTTTTAGTTTGCGCCAAGAATTATTCACCTGGCAAACTTCTTAATTTATAGCAGCCTATTTTCCTTCCCTTTTTTTCATTGTACAAGACAGGAAAAAAGTTCATCGTTCATAACTTCAAATAATTTTAACAAAGTGCGTAAACCACATTTGGCGTTATTATCGTTTATAACAAATATGCCAAATTTTAAAACGTGCCAACGTGTAAATTCACGTATATCTTAGGAAATTTTAAATAAAAAACCCTCATTTTTGTAGGTATGCTTAGGAATATATCTACTTTAAGGTGATAGTAAAATTTTATAGGTTATAATTGAATTTTTTTTTCCGAAAGATTTATAAAGATTATCTAAAAATACAAATTTTAAAAATAAATAATAAAAAATTGGTGAATTTTACTTGGAATGAAATTAATTTCGAAATGTTAAAGGAATAATCAAATAAGTTTAATAAAAAAAAAGAAATATTAATAAATGTATTTAAATTCAGCTAACATGGAGGAGCTAAAATTTTGAGAGCTAATTTTTTAAAACTTCGCGTGCAATTTTTACAAAACTTAACAGTTTGGCATAATTTGAGTCGTAGAATCGAAATATGGAAAAAAAATGGGTATGGTATTTCAGGAAAAGTACGATTTTGTGTCTAAATACCTATGTTAGAAGAATATTATATATAAATCTAATATATATTTTAAGTCGCGGTTTCGAGACATGGAAAACGCAAGTTAAATTTCGACAATCAGACCAGTAGAACGAGGATAAAAAATTATACCCCCTTTTTGTATGTTTGTGTGTGTGTGTGGTGTAGAGTGTATAATCTCATTTTAACTTACAGAAGAAGGCCTGAAAATGCGTCTTCTTTTGTTGTTAGCTTGCCTTGCACTACGAGGGCTGACAACTTGCGTTTCTGACATACCCGTCGGTTGTTGATATTTGCATATATAATCATTTTTCTACCGAGTTGGCTTTTCATTGTATGATGCCAAAAGCCCTTTCTAACAATTTCACGGTCGTATATCGAAAAATGAAACTGTGGCTTAAGTTTTGCACACTAGTGTATTTTGTAAGAAATATCTCCTTTTAACTTGCTTTCTTTTATGTTACAGATTGCAGAAAAATTTGAGTTTGCGAGCTACCTTGGAGCAGCAAAAGACGGTACACCCCTGCGTTACGTAGCCTTAGGTAGAGGAGACTTCTATGGTGCGTATTCTCTCTCTTCATAGTACTACACAACTGGCATTTAAAAAAATTTCAAGTTCTAATATTTTGACATCGAAGTGATGTAAAGACATTTAATATTTAAATCAATGTTTCTTACAAAACTATCTGAAATAGTCGTAATTTTATTCATCTTTTAATTAGATAAAAGACGGTAACTTTGTTTAAATTAGCATTTTCTGCTTTTAAGCTTCCACACTCTGTTAATAGTTATTCCATTACCACATGGAAATATCAGTTATGAAAATTCAGTTTGAATTTAGAAATAACTATCGGAATTATTCGATGGCAGATAACTTAGAGTAATGCATTTAACAACAGAGAGAACGATGCCGCTGTAATCCTTCTCTAATAACGATGCAAAAAATGTGATTCATAGTGATACATTTTTATGTCTGATGCGATATGGAACCCATACAAAAAATTCCCATAGAAAAATAAGCTAATTCTGTCTTATTATTTCAGCAACAATGGCACGCAATTTTGAATGATTTTCGTCTTTCTAATCAAATGGTTATGGAAGCTCACCTTCCATCCAATATTTCATTTAAATTCAATGTTAGTCGATTAAATGTGGCAAAAAAATGGATCATAATTAATCAGAAATCAATAACGCGAACAAACAAACATTCATCTTTACATATAGATTTTGTAAAACTTAAAAATGTTTGATTAACAAACTCTACGATTTAAAAGCGAGCAGTAACAACACTTTTTGCGAAATAAATCATTTTTATCTCCAACGCGCGAGACTGTTGCCACTCGGAAACATGAGAGCGAAAATGAGCGCTTTCAGAGTTTTTAATTAGTATATTGGCTGATTAAAGTCGTCCGAAGATGGGAATAGTCGAAATGGCTTCCCACCAGTTTTTGGAGTCGGGAATGATGTATTTAATGTTTGGCAATGTTATTTTTATTTCATCGTAAAACTTTTTATTAACAAACTCTAGTATTTGAAAGCGAGCAATGGCAACAACTTTCCGAATAAAACACATTTTCATCTCCAGCTTACGAGACTGCTGCCACTCGGAAAAATGAGGGCGAAAATGATCGTTTTTCCGAGTTTTTAATTAATATCTCTGATTGCTACTTTTTTGGGGGAAAAAGTGGACGTCGGCCTTTTCCAAGACCCAAAAAATAATAGTAGAAAGTTTGGTGACGATAGCTATAAAAGTGACGGAATTATTAAAGGACAACCAAACACACTGAGAGATTGATAGTAGTCTCTGGATGTAATAATCAATGTTTGTTTGTCGTTTATACAAATCTATAGCTTAATTCCGATCTTTATGAAACTTGCCACACTCGACCTTGAAAAGAAGAAAAAGGTCACTGTCTGCACAGCACTTCTCAAAAACCCACCCCATGGGATCCGTATTCTTTATATTTTATTCTAATTTAAAGAACTTTTCATTAAAAAACTCAGGGATTTAAAAGCTTTGCATTTTCACTCTGCAAAGCGTAAGATATATATTTTTTTCAAATTTAATCAGAAGATATAAAAAAAATATTTTTTTAAACTGAAAGGTTTCAGATTTTAAATTACGTCCAAATGGGCGTTTTTTTAACGTTTTGTGTGTTACCTTTATTTATTAAATACCATGTTCTTTGCCATAAAATTCAGTTCAATAGCAATGTCGCAAAATAATTTTGAAATGAGCATATCTTTAGAATTTCCAATACACAGTTCTGCGCCCTGAAGATAAAAAGGTTCCCCCCCCCCGCAGAGTGTTGTCATTGCTCGCTTTTGAATCGTTGAGTTTGTTACTCAAAAATTCGTTAAAGTTTTATAAAATATGAAATCGATCATAAAACAAATTCCAAATTTCAAATTGGACATGCCCATAAATTCCACATGCTCATATTCGTAGGAGAATTAAGTCATTCAAAATTCGATGGTTCTACGTAGAGCCATCGAATTTTGGATTCAAATTCGCATTGTAACAATGCGAGAAATATACGTACATTTATGCACAATTCCTTATTTAATTTGTTCAAATATAACACAGGACGATAATATTTGGTGGCAACAGTTTGAAAAGTGAAACGGACATTCAGAGTGATTCAACGCAAAATCGCAAAACGAAAACAATACTCCTTCAGGACCAAAGCCCCTTTGGACCAATTATGTTACCACTCGGGAAATGGCAGATATATATTAATTTGTCTCGAATTTAATTTAAAAAAAAATTCGGCTATTTCAGAGAAATGTGGTGCCACTGCCCATAATTAAAATATTTTAAGTGTGTATTTTAAGCATTAACATATGTGTTATTGCATCACAAGCACATACTTTCCTTTTTGAAAGTTAATATGTAATAGTCATTCCAAAGCATTACTTTCGCAGCGAAACCAATTATGCAACCAAAACAAAAATCGATTGATCGATCTACACCTCAAGTGCGAACGAAATAGCCATCACGAGCTTCAGAAACAAGCGAGCAACGGGAAGCAAGACTAAAAGACGTTCGAGAACGCACTGCTCAAGTCCGTTCGTCTGAAACAGACGAGCTACGAAAAGCAGGATTGGAAAACGTTCGAGTACGCACTGCTAGATCCACACGAACATTGCAGGCTAATTTAAATCTCTGTGCATTCCATTACGATGCTGATTATGATTACATGAACATGAGCATGAACGCCGAACTCGGAGCCCTTGCCCTGGAAGGTTCTAAGATCTCCCTTTTCAAGGTTTGTAGAACTGAGACTCCAGAGACTACCGGAGGGAACGCCACCACTCGCCGCTCGGTACAGAGGGATGTAAATTCCCTAGACAAGTTCACCGACGGAAGAAAGCCGACGGGCGACCATCGCGAAAAGATCCACAGGGCCGATCCTCAACCCCCGGCTAGTACAACAAAATACTTTCCCACGATCGGGGCACCACTCCCTCTCACAGTACTAGAATTAATTCACAAGATTAAAGATACAAGTCAGACATCACCGTCCCTCTGGGCCGACCGGCGGGAGCCAATCTTCCTCGGTTGATCTTCGATGTCTGACTATGTAACGTCTCCACAGCCAAGGTCACAGACAAGACAGTACCAGTACGGTCCCTGCCAAGCCTGAACCACCACCGAATAAACGATGGCCCTAGTCTTTTCCTGTAAAGATGGTTCATTTACCCAAGAAATCGAAGCTCTCTGAGCACAAGTCCAGCCAGTTGTCTGGAAGAACCCCGGGTCTCCTCCCACAAGTGGTCGGTTCCGGAAATCCCACCCAGTCGATTCCAAAGGATGTTTGTCCAGCACCGTTAACCTATGCCAGCTGAAGCCGACATAGTTACCAGCGAGCGCCACGAGGAGGCCGATGCTAAACTGAGGGAGACAAGGCGAACCCCCTCCCTCGGCACCCGCATCTTTAGATCAAACCCCCGGTCTCCTACCGCCAGCGGTCGGTTCCGGAAATTTGTCCTCAGATACGGGATCGTGATTACAGTGTTCAACCAAGTATGGTCGTAGGAAAGATGGATAAATTTTGCATGTGTTACAGAACCCTCAAATTTAAGAATGAAGCAACAGGAATGTACTGCATGGATGGAAAAGTGAAATTGCCAGAATTAACTTCACCATACGAACCATTATCGACCTTGGTTCAGGTGACACAAGCCAATCGTAATGTGCAAAATACGCATAAAAGAAATAATTTCATAACAGAATTAAAACGCAAACACTTTCTTTCAAGTAACATTGCAATGCATTATGGTAACAGCTAGTTATATTCTAAAGTGGGTATCTTATGCCACTCAATGAATCTTTCAAAAAAAAAATATGGCGGCAATTGGCGGCTTGCTTATGGCCTATATTTTCCACTGACATCTCTTAAGCACAGTCTTTCTTTTCTAGTATCTGTTTTAGTCTGAGATATGAAAATAGCGTTATTAAAAAATCAAAAAATACATAAGACTAAAATATAATTCTTTTAATTTGTTTAATTTTGAATGCTTGCTACCCATTCCTTTTATTTGAACTTAGCCCAAGAAGATCGTTAATCCCGAATGGGATATTAGTCTCGAAATGGCATTTTACGTCCAAACACTTAAATGCGTTGTATCACTTTTCAAATTGTTGCCACCCAATAATATCGTCCATTATTATATTTAAAGAAATTAAATTATGAAGAATCTGCATGAATATATGTATGTTTTTTGAATTGTAAAAAAGAACAACGGTACCTAGAGCCATCCAATTTTCAATAAAGTAGTCCTCCACTTGAATACAGGCACCTGGAAGATCTAATTCGAATTTCGAATTTGTTTTATTATCTATTTCATAAGATTTACAAAATATGAAATTGACGAATTTTTGATTAACAAACTCGATGATTTCAATGCGAGCAATGGCAACACTGTACGGAATAAAATGTTTTTAACTCCAGTGCACAGGTCTTTCTATGGAGAAATTCTAAAGATATGCTATTTTTAATTATTTTGTTATTTTGCTGTTGGATCGAATTTTGCGTGGCTTAAGCACCAAGAACATGATATTTAATAAGTAAAGTAAAGACATAAAATGTTAATAATGGAAAGATAAAAGAAAGTTTTTGTAAAGCCAACTTAGCAAGCAAACTGAAAATTGGTATGAGGACTTGAGGGAAAGGCCGGGAAAAAAAAAAAAAAAAGAATAATGTATACTAACACTTAACGCTGCATCGAGAATTTTAAACGTGTACTGCTATGCTGCTTTGAAAATTTTTGTAATTTTGCTGTTGAATTGTGTATGGCGTAAGTGAGAAGAAAATGGTGCTAAATAACAAAGCTAAAAAGACAAAAAGAAAATGGGTTAACAGGAAAGGAGTGTAACAACAGGCTGGTAGACTGCGAGCTCAGTGCGAGCATAAAGCACCTTAACAAAAACTCTTGGATGACCGTTCAAATCTCAAAACTTTCAGAAATTTTAGTCCAAAATGACAATTTGCACAGAAGGACTATTAATTTCATTTTGGCATTTTGCTTTGATTCAGTACAAGCGTTGTTTAATTTTTCAAATTTTTGCCACTAAATATTATCGCCTTGTATCATATTTAAAGAAATTAAATAATGAAGAATCTACATAAATGTATGTATGTTCTCGCAATTATGATAAAGCAACAATACCCAGATTTGAAATTTGTTTTATTATCGATTTCATATTTTGTAAATCTTTAACGAATTTTTGTTTAACGAACTCAAGGATTTCAAAGCGGGCCATGGCAACGTTGTACAGAAAAATATTTTTATCTCCAGCGCGCGAGACTGTGTATCGGAAATTCGAAGCTTGTTGAGTCATTAGGTTTTATTGAAGTAGGAAACATGAAAAATGACCAATGCCCTTTCCCGACTCCAACTTTGACCTCTCGAATACGCACTGAGTATGCTACCGTTACACCAAGAAGACGTGCTGGAAGGAGAGAGAAATTACCCTATAAGCTTTCCACAGGAAAAATTGTCTTTTTGTGTTTTTCACAGGTGACAAACAACAAATGAGGCGATCATAAATGCTTCGTGCGGTATTTTGCCATTTTTTAAGGAAAACATTGTCAAGTTCTTTCTTAACTGGATTCACTAAAATAAAGTAATATGTGGACTAACTTTGCATTCATGATAAGTAAATAACTAAAACACATAAAAAGCTTTAAGATAAGAAGTTATCCGTGACAAACAGCAATAATCTTTAAACAATATGATTTTTTTGTTCGAGATAAACAAATATTTGTTTACGAATTGTTGTTGGAAATTCATAATTTCATAATTGATTTCCCTTTTCTTTTCATTCATATCTAAGCGATAGATTTAGATAAAAACGCGGAAATGAATAATAATAAATATCACACTTCGAATTTCACCAGTTTGTAAGCAAACAGGAATATTTTTTGGAATAGATTTTTCGTAAGTTAAAGATCTCATCAAATTTAGCTCTTAATCCAGTAATTTCTGCTTTATAGTATTACGTATTTACTATTGCTCTGAACTTAATAATTTCTCCTCAGAATTTATTTCTATTTTTATAATAATCAAAAAGTATCGTGATTGATTCTATAAGTGTGTTACTTACCTTGAGTTTCCAGTTCTACCTAAAGATACGATCTAAATATGATGCTGCATATCATAATTTCGTATCATGGTTAGATTCTATCTATGATGATATTGATATCATGATATTGCATTATAATATTTAGATCATATCTAAATATGAAATTGCATATTATATTTTGATCGGTGCTACTTTGGTAGACGGTTGTACGGATTTTTAACGATTTACTTTGGCGCAATTGTTGGTACGGTTTTTACAATCATCAGCCATCTTGAAAAACGCTGTTTTTACGTATTTTACGCATAGTAAATTATTCGAAACTTTAAAATCATAAATATCGTTAAAAATAATGAATTAATTTTTTGTTGAAAACTTTCCTTTTTAAGATGGCAGGCAAATGTAAATAAATACACTTACAACGAGTATAAAATACTAAAGTAAGGTTAAATTATTACTTTCATATAGCAAAGAAATAGAATGAAAACACCGCTATAAAAACATTGCGCCAACGTTTAATTGGATTAAAATATTACTTAAACTGAATATCGAATTAAAAACCATCATACCAACGTTTAAAAGAATTAAAATTTTACTTAAATTCAAATACTTTAAAATAATAAAATAAGAACGCTTCGTACACAAGAGCTAAAATGACCGCAATTAGAAGTTTACTGCCGGTAAAAAAGGAGGAATTGTCTAATTCTTTTTTTCACCCATTACAGCGGTTATTTCTTCCACCGTAACCACAATACCATATACTGCCGTCCTCGGAATCGGCTCTTTTAACAATCTTCATCTATGATCCACATTTCTCGCATTTCATTGAAGAAGCAATTAGCGAGGTTTCCTCCAAAAATTTAAAATTAATTTCCTCTGAGCCTTGTAACAATTTATAAATAAATCTTTGACTAGGAAAGCCAGGTTGGCCAAAATAAGGTCTCAAAGGACAATTTTTTTATTCCGATACCGATAATTCTTGGTATTTATCAATAACAATATTAATGTTCGAAAAGGACATATCCGTTCTCTATGAGATCTAAGAAATTCGAAGAGATGAATAAATAAAATTTAAAAAAGGCGCGGTAATGCACAAATATTCAGTAACCAATCAGGGAGCTGATTAAATCACGCATAGAATTAAAATTATTTAAAAAATCATACATAATAAAATCATTTTTCAAAAAAAATGCAAAATTAAATTGTATTTTAATATTTAACAGCCATAAATAATAACTTTATAGATATTAAAACCAATAACTTTTACAGTAAAGTGACGTCATTGATTACATCATGAACAACATAAAATTATATAAAATATCATAAACAACAAAATTTTTATTTCAAATAAAAATGCAAAATTTAATTGATTTTTAATATTTAGAAGCCATAAATAATATTTAAAACACGAAATTTATGCATAATAAAACGCATTATTTTTTTAAATAAAATGACAACGAAGTATCGGTTACCATAAATAACTTGTCCAGCAATGGGTGTACCATAAGCTGTATCACTCGCTAAAAAATATCTCGCCAAAATCCGTGCAACCGTCTACCAAAGTAGCACCTTTTGATCTAACAGATGCTAAATTTCATATGTATTCTAAATGTGTTATTGCAATTCATATATAATCTCTAAATATTGCCGTGTATGAATTCACATTTATTAGCACAAAAGCGCGGAAGCCTGGAAGGGCTTTTAATCTCAAAACGGCATTTTGTGGCGTTTCTCTATAAACGACGAATCAGTTTTTAAATTCTTACCACCAAATATTATCCCCCTGTATTATATTTAAAGAAATTAAAATAACATAAAATAAAATCTGAAAGCTTTCAGATTTTATATTACGCCCAAAGGGGCGTTTTTTTAACGGTTTGTATGTTGCCTTTATTTATTAAATATCATTTTCTTCGCACTTAAACCACATAAAATTCCATTCAACAGCAATATCTAAAAATAGTTAAAAACAGCATATATTTTCGATAGAATATCCGATAGACAGTCTCGCGCTGGAGATAAAAATGCAATTGTTTGAACAGATTGCCATTGCTCTCTTTGAAATCGTTGAGTTTCTTAATCAAAATTTAGTCAAAGTTTTACAAAATATGAAATAGATAATAAAAAAATTTCGAATATAGGACTTCTAGCTGCCCATATTCGGGTAAAGCATTACGTTATTCAAAATCTGATGGCTCTAGGTACCGTCGTTTTTTGACAATACGAGGAACAAGCATACATTGATGCAGATTCTTTATTATTTAATGTCTTTAATATAGTAGCATAATATTTGGTGGCAGCAATTTGAAAAGTGAAACGGACATTTATAGTGAAATAACGCAAAATACCATTTCGAAGCTAATAGCTAGCCCTTCTGGGATACCGCCGCTTTGGGCTAATAATAAAAAATCTGCATGAATGTATGTATGTTTCACCGCATCCCTCTCCGCGGACGGTTCAGAGGATCTTCACCCCCTTTCCCTACCACCCACCTCTCAAGAGGACATTCCACTCGCCGCATACTTAGAGTGCCCCAATGTCGCACAGACACTATACGTTAACAAACATTCATGCCTTCTCCGGGGTTCGAATCTGAACTCACCGGTACGGTAGTCACTTTTTACTAAAATTCGTTTACATCTTCTTAACAAACAGATATATTTTTAAAAAGTGTATTCCTAAATTGTTTGTAAAATGCTGATTGAAAATTTAGCTTTAATTAAAATTCTAATACAAGCGAGAGTTGTTTTTTATATTACTTTACGTGAAGAATTGCAGAAACGTTTAAGATTCGGGTTCGAGAAAATTTAGATTACGTCCTATTTCTTCTTTATACAAAATTGATTTCCTGTATAGAAAATATATATATATATATATATATGATGTACCAGCTTTTGTCCGGAATAAATAGATTGGTGAAGAAATATAGATGAAGTCGTAGCTTAAATTATCAGACGATAAGTTTAAAAAACAGGATCCATTTATTATTGGTCAGGAGAAATAGCAGTTACAAAAAATCATATTTCCGGAATAAATAAAAAAGAATTACTAATAACATTTTGTATGAAGTTTACTGCATCGTTACATAAAGAAAAGACCCCGATATTCCTCTGCGAGTCCTTTTATAGCCTCTGGAAAGGCAGAGCTTCCAAGAAATGACGTCAGCCTCGTCAGCCATTCCAGTTAGCTTTATATATCTCCAGAACATTCTATAACTGTACGTGTAGAAAAGGCGGGAAAAACAACGTGACTACGGGGCTGTGTATTTAATTCCACGTACTTTCAAATAAGAGACCGTCGCCATTAAAAATGAAAAGAACAAACAGTTAGAATTTTAAGTGTATTCTTGACTATGGAATTTTATTATTACACACACACATATATATATATATATATATATCTTTTAAAATGACTAACTGCGACAAAAAACTTCGTATGTAATTTCTTCCTTACTGTAATACACATAATTGCTAACTCCCTTTGCAGAAGGTTATTACTGGAAAGTGTTAGCAAGCATGTTTTAGAAAAATAAATATATTATACATAAAAAAAAATTTTTTTAAATCATATATAGATATTTCTTGAGGCAATTAAATTCAGGAAAGACTGTTAAATTTCAGTATTTTCATGTACTTAGCTGCTGTTAGGTTATTAAACATCAACCTTGAATTAAGTTTATTATTTTTAATACGTATTCTTAAGTCTCTTTCTTAGTTTCTTTCTCAAGCATAACGTACAATTATAAACTAAAGAACTTCTCTCGCAAGACTGGCAACAGTAATTTGCTACTCTCGGTAAATAACTAATGCCTTGTCAGTATTAATTGACATGATGCGAGAGATAAGAGACATATTTCTAACAACAAAATTTTACTCATTTCAGGTTTTATCATGAGTATGTCAACGGCTGATATAATTTATTATGCTACTTACTTGCTTGAATATGATATCCAGAAGACGAAAGAGCAAACAAAAAAGGTAAATTTTTCTCAGGAAGTATTTTAAATTGTTAATTTTGACTAGAAGACGGGTTTATCTTTGGCACGTCGTTTACCTCTAGATAAACCTTTGATGTTATATATTAAGCACATTATAAATATAACAACTTCGAAGAAAATAAATATCAGAACTAGCCGATCATCTAAGCTGTTGTTAAATTCCGGATACGCGCCTAATAAAAACAAATTATAAATGCATACTTTTTTGGCTGGCGCAAAATTTAATTATTGCTTGATGAATTTAATTTTTCATTTACAAATTATGACATCGGCTAATAACAGTGTGATTTCTTAAACTTTCTGATGTATAATTTCTAGAAGTGATATTATGCTAGATATGATGAGAGCTTTCTGCAAGATGGATTTTGAGAATATAACCTTTAGTTAAATTGCCTCCAATAATACATTTTTGTTATACATTTTCGTTATGTCTTTTTTCTTCGCCGTATCGCACTGTAAAGTCATTATCTTATTTTTTAAAGAAGGTGAGATGAAAAATGAGCAACGCCCTCACCAGAACTCGAACCACAGACCTCTCGAGTACGCGCCGAGCTTGCTGACTACTACACCAGAAAGGCATGCTAAGAAGGCGGGAGAAACACCTTATATACGCCCCCTTTTAAAAGGGCGACAGTGGTTTAGGGTACTCAATCGCCAAATCCTGGAGGCGGAGAACCATCATCCACCACCCTTTTAGTTCGTGCGACACTGTAGAGTCATTAGGTTATTTTTTAAAGCAGGTGGGATGAAAAATGAGCAACGACCTCGCCGGGACTCGAACCGCGGACATCTCGAATACGAGCCGAGCGTGCCGACCACTACGCTATATCAGTTTCTAAGCAATTTACCGTGAAACTGCAACATATTTAGTAGCTACAGGCACGTAGGTGTTTCAGCATTTGTTATATTCAAGTGGTCCTGGCCCTTGGGAATATATTTATAATTAAGCTTGAGAATTACTGCTTTAATTAAAACTTAAATGGATACTGAAAAACTGAAAAATTGTCACATTTCTGTGTCAGCTTTTCAGGGACAAGTTATTTCTTTTCCAATGGCGGGCACAGGTCATCATCATAGACGTTGGCAACTACTAAGGCCAGAAGCGGTGGTCACTTTATAATGGAGGCACTTAATACTTGGGGAACCTTTGCCTCCTACGAAGGGACGGACAGTCATGATCATGCCATCTCCGGGAATCGAACCCGGGTCCTTTGGTATAGCAGTCGGAACCCTAACCACTATACAATGTGACAAAAGTAATCCGAACTATGTAACATGAAAACATAATTAATGAAGACTAGCTTAAACTAACGGGAGCTGTTGATTTGTAAATTATTATACAAAGAAGAGGAAAGAGGAAGAAAGAAAGCAAGGGAAGGAATTCCCCAGTGAATTAAGAAAGTATAATTGGCGAAATACGAAAGAACATAAATTTATAAATTTGGCTTAAGATTAGGCTTTCGAAAATCATATTGTTCCCACGATCCTATGGGGATACTGATTTGTGGGATAAGGATAATACACTGGCAAACTGACGAAAAAAGCATTTTTCTGATGGCTTTCTTACTTGTACACCTTTTCAAAAAAGAAATTATAACTTATATGTATTTATTTAACTTGTTAACGAAGGGTTTTTCTCTGTCTAATTTGTTAACGAAGTGAAGATTTGTTTACGACGTGCTTGCGCCTTTTAAATGCAATCGGGCGTAAAAAAGCAGATATTTAAGATTTTCTAACTGCTGAGTATAACTATGTCCCATTAAAGTATTAATATGTTTGTAAAAATAATGTTCGCAATTATACATAAATTTGTGCATTTATCTTACTTACACTACGAAAGCTGGAGAAATACCTTATATATTCCTCACTTTTAAAGGGTTAAAGGGCGATTGGTGTTTTAGGGAACACAGTCGCCAAATCCTGGGTGTGAAGAATTATCATTGACCACCCTTTTAGTTCGGGTGCCACTGTAGAGACATTAGGTATTTTTTGAAAACAAGAGAGATGAAAAATGAACAACGCCTTCGCCGGGAATCGAACCACGGACATCTGGAATGCGCGACCAGCATGCAGACTACCACACTATGAAGGCATGCTAAGAAGGCGGGAGAAATACCTTACAAACTACTGATTTATGTTAAAAAGAAGTAAATTTAATGCGTCGTTTTCGATAAAAACTTTCTAACTTTGCTACTAAATTACTTGATTTTTACTTCCTTGTACAAAGTAGAAGAAGTATTGTTATCGTGAAATATTTCGGTATCATATTTCAATGAAAATATTCATTTTTATCGCTCTCGAATCCATTTGACTAATGTTTTTGCGTGACATCTATACGTCCGGACAGAATAAAGAACATTTCTCTCAAAATGGATTGTAAAATGGATTTTTTCATGACGTCTGTACGTACGTATGCATGTATCTCGCATAACTCAAAAACGACTAGCCTCTGAATGTTGAAATTTTTTATATGAGACTGCTATAACATGTAATTGTGCATTTCCCTTTTGGTTTCAACCTGCCGACCTAAAAAATATATACATATATATATATATATATATATATATATATATATATATATATATATATATATATATATGATGCACCAGCTTTTGTCCAGAATAAAAGATTGGTGAAAAATCATAAAATGTAGTCGTAGCTTAAATTATCAGACGATAAGTTTTAAACAACAGGATCTATTTATTATTATTCAGCAGAAATAGCAGTTACAAAATCAGATATCCGGAGTAAATAAAAAGAATTACTAATAACTTTTTGTATGAAGTTAACTGCATCGTGACATTTAAGAAAAAGCCCCCAATATTCCTTTGCGAGTCCTTTTATAGCCTCTGGAAAGGCGGAGCTTCCAGGAAATGACGTCAGCCTCATCAGCCAATCCAGTTCGCTTTAAATATTTCCAGACCATTCTATAACTGTACGTGTAGAAAAAGCGGGAAAAACAACTTGACTACGGGCTGTGAATTTAATTCCACGTACTTTCAAATAAGAGACCGTCGCCATTAAAAATGAAAAGAACATACAGTTAGAATTTTAAGTGTAATCTTGACTATGGAATTTTATTATTACAAATATATATATATATATATGTCATATTTCTGGGAAACATAGAAGAAGAATCAGCTTGCAATCGACGTAGCTGAGAGAGAACGCTTACAGATAAAGATAACAAAACAGAAACTTGAAGAATTTCCAGTCTTTATTTCCACGCATATAAAATCATCTCTATAGATGTTTATCCAATCATAATTGAAATATGATAAGTTTCTATTTACATTGATTCTTCAATTTAAAACGCAGGCACTTTAGACGGGGAAGCAAAACGAGGAGGTATTTGCAAGGCGGGAGCAAGCAGAAAATAAACGCAGTCTGACGAAAAAATGGAACGCATTCTGCATTTATACTAGCAGTTATGTAAAATGCCAGAATGTTCTTGAAAGTACTGGTCTAGGGGAAAGAACCTGAAAATGCGGAAAGTTAATTATAGGTTGCCTGTTCTCTCAGAGCAAAGTCATCGTATTTTTTTTTTTATATTTAACATATATACGTATTACATATATATATATATATATATATATATATATATATATATAACATATATATATATATATATACAGATATGTATAAATATATATATACACATATGTGTGTATACTCTGTTACCTGGGTCGGTGAGCTCGGTCTTTTTATTCTTATATGTTGGTAAATTTTGCAGTTTTTGCTTGAAAAGTGCTTGAGTTATTGTTTTCTCGTGTTCCTGTTAAAGGCTTTATGCCTTTCGTTAATCTACATGCAATAGTTGTAGAATTGTCAACAATTTAAAAGTTGTTTAAGTGGTACTAAGCCTAAGGAATCTGCCATTTGTTTAGATTTGAAACTCTTAATACAATAGTGAATTCAGTTGGTGACTGAACTTCAGTGTCGTTTTGCCGTCAACTCCGAGTTTTGAATTGGCGAAAAAAATTCATTTTATCTCAAAGAATCGGACTGCTTATACACAAAATTTGTCAATAATTTTATAGTATTTCTGCTTAAACTCCCATTAATTTTCCTCGTGTTTTACATTCCCTTTACAGACAGGAAAAGAGATCAATGAAATCACCTATATCTTCGATATGGAGCATTTTTCTCTGCACCAGTGTACCTATACTTGCGGTAAGAGAATTTCCTTATTATTTTTAGATAAGAAGGAAAATGCTTAAATAGAAGCATTTTTGCGTTAATGTGCAAGATCTAGCGCGATTATCAATCATAAAATATTAACTAGATGTACTTAAGTGTTGATTCTAAGTGTTGATACCTAAGTGATGATAACTAAGTGTTGATTCTCGCACAGAGGGTGTAAAAGACCCTTGAAAAGAATATAATTAACAGACGACACGGACTTAACGTGCTTACAAGCACCGGCCACTTGCGGTGAAAACTTAAAAGACAGTGTAACACTAAATTTAAAGGTAACTAACGGGCAAGACCACCAGATGAGCGAGCTGTGACAAAAGCAATATTTATGAGTTCTATGTACACCTGGAAAGAAAGTGCATAAAAGCATTTCAATATAAATAAAGTCAGTTCATTCTTTCAAGTAACAACCAATTCGTAAATAAGTTTTTTGTTGCCAAAAGAGAAAACAAAAAAACTTTGAATACTTCAGCTTACGTATGACGTCGTGATTTAAACTTAATGTAGTATAACAATTTCCCTCAATATCAATGAAAGAATTAATGTGGCAATAACATATTGTGTCAGTTATCCTAACCTGAAACAAAAAATTTGCCAATAGCAGATAGTTATTTAAAATGCTGACATTCACGGAAACTTTTCGACATACAATGACGTCACATGAAATCGCATGCTTTCTTCAACGTCAGAATATGACCTTATATAATATAGTTAATGCTTGGCAATACTATTTTTATTTCATATTTCATAAAACTTACAAATTTTTCATTAACAAACTGTACAATTTGAAAGCGAGCAGTGGCAACACTTTTGGAAGATTTTTATCTCCAGCTCGCGAGATTGTTGCCACTCGAAAAAATGAGTGCGAGAATTAGCGCTTTCAGAGTTTTTAATTAATATCTCGGTTGATTAAAGTCGTACGAAGATGAGAATGGTCAAAATGGCTTCCACGAATTTTTGAAATCCCTCTTTCGAAACTCAGCTCCCCGCCGTTCCGGAGGATATAATGCCACAAACAAACAGACGCGCAGACATTTTAATAGTATAGAAGAGTAGTGCGAGACTACATAATTCAATTTAAGCTAACAGATTGACTCAGAAACCTGCGTCGGTATAATAAATCGGTGGCAAAAATGCGTAGCCGAAATTAAGGTTCAAAGTTGGAAGAAAATACCAACGTGCGTTCACAATAGTGAAATGACGCTCTGCTTAACCTTTTCTCTCCAACAGTTTAAATACTCTCGCTCAACCAACCTTATCCTGGCAAGGAGACGCGAGGGGAGGTTCTAAACTTGAGTAACTATCAGTAAAAATAAATAAAACCCGACAAATATTAATTCTAATTGTAGCCAAGTAAATATATGAATAAAATTGTCACATACTATGCGTTATTTATTACATTTTCTGAAGAATTCCCTTCTATCTAACTTGAAATATTTATCAGCAAAAGGTAATGAACGTTATCAAATAATGGCAACATCAGTGTTAACATTTTGATTACTGTACCTACGAATATAAATACCAAGAGATGTAATCAAACATGATTAGAAATAAATTCCTTAATTACTTCTCCCAAAAAATTAATCAGTCTCAAGGTTGAAATACCTCATACATTTTATTTTATTAGGAAGAAGAAATGTAGGAAGTATTTCACTTAATTTTCTCTTTTCCTCTATGCTGAGTTTAAATAGTTTAGAAACATATTTTTATATGAATTCAGAACTTATTAAAAGTTAAAAGTAAATTGTCTAAGACACCGCTCATTCTATTTCTATTAATGAATGACCATGCGTATGTAAAAAAGAAAATGCAATCAGCATGTATAGAAACTGGTTGGTATGATCATTTTATGCTACCGGAGTTTGAAGCGGTGTTTAGTAAGATTTCGAAGTAATGTTTCATGTAACCTTCTCTAGACTTCAAATATCATAATCTTGGAGAGCGAAGGCCTTAATGCTAGTTCTAATTTTCCAAATTACTTTCAATAAGCTAATTATGAGCTTCTGACACTTTTTTATTATTGTACGATTTAAGATTCATGTGTTCAGAAGAATTTAAAATGACTTTATTACGAAATGCGGAGACATAAATTTGTAGATGCAAAAATCATAATAATTTAACGTTCTTAATTTATCTATTTATTTACATTTTAGTTGTGGAAACGGGACTGGATCTGATGAGAATGTTACAAGATTACTATCCAGAAATTTGGAAAAATGTACTAGTCGTTAATGGTACATATATTTTTCTTCAGAATTTTTCCTTTTTATCTTTTATCTAGAATTACCTTATATTATTAGATTATTAGATATAGGTGATTAAATTATTAGATTTGACAAAGGTTTGATTAGATAAGGGTCCACCTGTAGCGTGAAAATCAATTAAGACAAAGAGATTTTTTTCATAGAATTTTAAGTTAGTTGCCAGATGACAACAGCATGTCCCTCAAAACAGTTTGCCTTTACCTTCTCAGTACTGAATTATTTTAAGATTTTTGCCCATGAGACGGATCTAATTTGTCGCTATATGGTTAATGTGTTAAAGTATAACATTTTATTTGGAATATGCTTTTATTGGTGATATAAATTTATTTTTGAAACAGTATTTTAGTTACAACACTGATTAGGTCGGACGAGTCAGACTCGTCCACCATAACTTCGCCCGAGTAATCAATTGACGAGTCTCACTCGTCAAATGGATCCAAAGGGTTAAACCACTTCCAACCGTTTACACCGAAAGAGATTCGTCGATTTGAAATGCATCTTCAGCCGTTAGCAACGGCACACATTCAGTAAAGTTAAATGACGTGTCAAAATGGTTAGGTGTGCATAATTTAATAGGCCGTACGAGAAAGTGATGTGATGTCCAACTTGATTTATTTTTCTATAAATAATCGTGCATTACTCAGACTGATTTATCTCTACATATAATAAAAGAAAGAATCTATCTGTGTGTATGTCTTTCGCTCGTGCTGCGCGTAAGCTAATAGACCCAGGGCTACGAAATTTGGTACATAGGTGCATCTAGACAAGAGCCAGTGCACCTCGAAGCGATTTTTTTCAAAATTCGAATCAGATTTGTTTTTTATTTTATCTTTTTTAATGAAATCGCATCATTTCGAATAATTTCATTTATTTAAAAATGTGGTTTTGGCAACAGTTTTTCACTCAATGCTTTGTATACAGGACTGCTGACTGTTGAAAATATGAGATAAATGCTGCTTATTTTCTTTTGATTTTGGACACACAACACACACATCTCAAGTCTTCTTATTTTGACGCGCATGTGTCTCGCCTGGCACAACAGAAAGAATTTCCTTTGTTTCTCTCTCTCTCTCTCTCTCTTTATTAGCTAATGGCAAAGAGCTAATAAAGAGATTTTGAATTATATCATCCACAAAGCACAATTTTGATTAGTTATTACTTTCTGATGACAGTTTCATTCATTTAGAAATGAGGTTTCCGCAACAGTTTTTCATTCATTTCTTTAGATACTGGACTGCTGACTGTTTTCTCTTTAAAATAATAGATTTATTGCTCATTTCATAGTAATTTTTTATATTATGTTTTAATTATATATAATTTTAATTATATAAAAAGTTTTGCATGATTTTTTAGCAAAGTTTTTAACTTTATATACCATTGAAATTTTAAGATGTTGCAACGAGAAGTTGGTTAATTTATTTATTAGGATAATTAATATTTGTATTAAGAGATACTGCGTACTTCATTGTACTTTTCTTAATATTTAATACTTTTTTATTGATTTGTTTTTGATAAAGTTGTTCTGCGGAGTAAAATTCTGTGCAGGTTTTTAATTTAATGTTTGGTGTACCCTTTAGGCATTTTTACGGTACATTTAAAAGCCAGACGAAGGCTGGCACCGTAGCGGCTAGTAATGTTATATAATTTAATACTTCTCCCTAATAACTGTTAAAATTATTGCTTCATTCATCCCCATTTTGCATTATGCATACTAATAATTTTTCCATACGTATCTTCTTATATACGAAGTACCGTAAAGTTGTTATTCATGAACAAGCAAATTTATTGCCTGCTCCTGCATGATTCCATATCACTTTGCTTTATTTCGTTTGACAACGATTTCAGTGTATAAATAACAGGGTTAATTTTCTGAATAGTTTCTGAAATTTTCTGAAATAGAGCAGCCATTATTCTTCGAGGTTACTCCATCAATACTAAATCTTTTTACAACTTGCATGGCTTAAATATAAAGAATAAATACAATAGATAATTGTCTACTGTTTTTTCAAACGGAAAAGTAATAAATAGCGCCAAGAGTCATTTTTGGTGTTCTTCGGTATTGATAGGGAATAATGCTGAAAACACAAGTCTCATTTGTATTCACTAAATGAAATCTGAGCTTTTATTCACTAAGAAAATCCTACATGATTATTACTACACTTTATTTACAGAGGTTTCATGCTAGTACAGTTTTATAAATTGTGTTAAGATTAATTACTGCAAGAAGAAAAAATATCTGTTCAGGATAACTGTAGAGTTCCTCACTTTGTAATGCTGAGTTACTGTTGAACGCAAAGACTCTTAAGAACTGATAAGCGAATAATCGCTTGAGTTCGTGTGACAGGAAACAAAAAGATGGAAGGGTAAATAACCCTTTATTATTCAATTAAGATTAAATAGAACTCCGTCTTGGAGTGTACAATAAAAGCCGACACTTGGGCTTGAACTTAAGAGATTAAAAATTAAATTAAACTAAACTAAAGAGATATAGCCTAAGCTACAAGATTCTAATCGAGTTGGCCCCTTAACTTTAATTGACTGCGAAGCTATCAAGGGCCTAAAGTACGGCCGAGCGTAATAATAATTACGAGAGAGTAGCCTAAAAAAAATGGACGCGTTCAGACAGAATATCTGGTATCTCTCTCACTAAGACAGAAGAACTTCGCGGTTAAATACCGCTCTTCCTCATTAGACGTGATTCTAAAACTACGTTCTGGCCGGAAGTAGTAAGATGAAGTTAAGAATCGACAAGATAGGAACTTAAAATTATTTAACTGTTAATGAAATTAACATAATTCTTACACAACAAATAAGTCTACACTTGTTGATTGGTTATAATTTTTAATAAAAATCATTAGTTTCTCACATGTACATAATTCTCACAATGTTTTCTCTGAAATTTATGCTCAGAGTTTCAAAAATTTTATTCTGTGTATGTTTTTTTTTTTTTTTTTTTTTTTTTTTTTTCCAATTTTATATTTACACACTTAAACCTTTTCAGCGCCGTTTTATTTCTATCAAGCATTTAACATCTTGAGGCCTATCTTAAGGTACAATCTTCTGCAGAACATTCGAGTAGTATCAAAAGGTAAAAATTTCAATATTTTTTCGCTTTGATATTCTTATAAAAATCAAGTAAGGGAGAAAAAAAGGAAAAATTTTTTAAGATTATAGTATTGAAAATCGAGATATTTGGGAATGAAATTGATTGCTGTTTAATTGTAGATAATACAATAGTCTGAATAGAAGTAGAATTCAATAGTTTAGATAAAATTTGAAGAACTTTCATTGCTTCATAAATTTCGTATTCATTCTGTATCCTGCTTGTGTTTCATTCGTTACGTAGGGATTATTTACATGCAACGATTTCTTAATAACTTAATTGATTGAACAGCTATTAGATACTAAGACTAGCGTGCTGCGGCCAAATATCATTTTATAAGTTCTGTGTACTCCTGAAAAGAAAATGCATAAAAACATTTCAGTATGAATCAAATCAGTTCATTCTTTCCAAGCAACAACGAATTAGTAAATAATTTTTAGTTGCCAAACCAGGAATCAAAAACTTTTGACACTTTAAGTCAATACGTATGACGTCATGAATTAAATTTAACGTAATGTAGCAACTTTTTCTTAATATCAATAAACGAATTAACGTTTCAATAACATATCGTGTCAGTTATCTGAAACAAAACAGTTGCCAATAGCATCCATTTATTTAAAATGCTGACATTAACGGCAGATTTTCGACATACAATGACGTCACATGCAATCGCGTGTTTTTTTCAGCGTCAGAATATGACCTTTTGTAATAATGATATATTTAATGCGTGCCTATCCTTTTTTTATTCCATATTTTGTAAAAGTTACATATTTTTTGTTAACAAACTCGACGATTTTAAAGCGTGCAGTGGCAAAACGTTTCGAAATAAAGCATTTTTATCACCAAAGCACCTAGATTGTTGCCACTCAGAAAATTGAGTGAGGAAATTAGCTTTCTCAGAGTTTTGAATTAATATCTCGGGTGGTTAACGTCATACGATTATGGGAATGGTCTAAATGTCTTCTCACGAATTTTTGGAAGATTCAGGCTTTAACAGTATAACTTATTCGACCAAAATTTGATTAAATTCTCACACATTAACAAACAAAAGTTAGTATTTGTTTTGAAATTAACGAGGAAGAATGATTAACAATAGTTTTTTTTTTAAATTATTTCAAAAAAAATCAAACTAAATGTAAAGAAAGAAATATTTTCATTGAAAATGCAAAATGAAGTGATGTTGAAGAAAACAGAAAAGCAATATTTGCATTATGTCTATTCCTAATAATCGGAGGCAATGAGAATAATCTTTGAAGCGCCTTCCAGAATCTCGTATATGTGCCAAATAAAATTGTAAATTATTGTAAAGCAATTAAAATTGTAAAGTATTTTTATACGGAAATTCGTTGATAAAGTCTGATATTTGAAACTTACTCAGAAATCTGCGGGATAAAGTGATTGAAATGACTTTTTAAACACATGATTATTTTTATTTTTTTTAAATATGAAATAAATGTGCAGATCATCATGTACCGAAAGTTCTTCGTGTACAGAAATTTTCCAAACAGAAAGATTTGAGGAAAGTGTGGAAATAAAATATGGATTGGTTTCATTGAGCACTTGGTGAATGGTGCTGCCATCTAGTGAGTATTCTGGAAGTGGTTTTCAATAAACTATGTGTCTCACAGATCAGATTAGTGACATATTAACTCATGGCCTGATTACGTCTCGAGCCACAAGTTCCAGAACTAAGACTTCAAATTTTACGGAGCCCATAACCAATCTTTCATTTGTCTTCAGCAATATTAAAATGCTTTATTCAATAGCGTAAAATGTAAACCATTTAAAAAGTCATTTTATCTAAAATTTTCAATTTTACAACAGGATTTACAGATTACAACAGGATTACAGGATAAGCAGATTGAATTTTAATACAAAGCCGCTTTTATTAGTGCACATGTGACATAGTCGGATATGTAACATATTGCACAGTGTGTAGAGATATTAGGTTATTTCGAAGCAGGAGAGATAAAATGAGGAATGCCCTCCCCCGGACTCGAACCACGGACCTCTCGAATACGCGCGGAGTGGGCTGGTCATTACCACGAAGGCATGTTACGATAAAAGTACCTTATAAGTGGCCTCTCGAATACGCGCGGAGTGGGCTGGTCATTACCACGAAGGCATGTTACGATAAAAGTACCTTATAAGTGGCATATGCACATCAGAGTATTCCTAATAGTATCAATACAGATCAAAGTAGCTTGCTTTTCAGCTCAGTTTGGATATACTATTTTTAGGTCAATGGTGCTGCCATCTAGTGAGTATTATGGAAGTGGCTTTCAATAAACCATATGCATCATAGATCAAATGAGTCACATGTAAACTCAGGGCCTGATTACACTCTCGGAACTATGAGTGTCATAAACGAAGCAGACTTCTAACACACTTTTCCAATTGTAAAATTTTTATTTTTATTTCCTTTGTATGTTATCATCTGCATAAAAATCAAATGGCTGTGATCAAATTTTATAGTAATATGTATTACAAAAATAAATTGTTGTAATATACTTATGTACGAACAGATAATGCACATTTTTTTAATATAATGGTATTTTTCTGATATATTTACATTCAGGAAAGAAAGGCAGAAAAAAAAGAATGTTTTAAAAATTAAAATTCGCTTTAATCTGATTTTTAATTTTATTAAAAATTAAAGATTTGGTTTTGTGAGTTTACAAAAGTAAATATTAATTTAATTAAAAAATAAATAACACTTGCACTTTTTTTAACATTTTTATTCTTACGCTTGTAAATAATAAATTCTTTTCTGAAATATTAGACTCAAACTGCAAATGTTTTTAATTTCTTTTCATTTTTTCTTTGCCATTTAGCTTTGTATTTCATATCCGCCAGTATAATAAAAAGCCTAAATTTTACAACATTTCTAGCAAAAATTTGAATTGTATCTAAATAAAGCTTTCTGACGTCGTGTAAACAATACTACAAACAGCATTACGTAAATGAAAATTACAAACTACTGCAAATATGCTCGTCAGAAACTTGAAATCTAATTAATCTAATTTTTATCTTTTTTATTTTTATGTACTTTATTCTAATTTTTTTTTTCAGATATCTGCGGTATATATTTTTCAGCTTAGTTGATGTCACACATTCAGAATTAAATTGTAAATCTCAGCATATGTGTAACAATAACAACTGTCCTAATAATACACTCCTAATACGCTTACGCATTCTTGTTTTCCTTTTTAATAGACCACTAACGTACAAAATTCAAGACTGGTTGAAAGTTTCAGCTACAGAAATTATAGAAAAAGTTTAAGGGCTTATAACTCTTCGGAAAAATAAATAAAAACTTAGATACCTATTAAAACTTTGCTGAAGAATGACAGTGATTTTATTCATTTTTCTTCTGATTAAGTTTCTGCTCACTAACTTTCTCTAATATATTTGCACTAGTAGATCGAAATTATTTACAAACTTTAATGTGTATACAAATACGATAATTTACAAATATACAATTACGGTGGTAACTTTTTTTTTTTTCTAGAGAATACTCCAGAGCTATTACTGAAGTACGTAGACCCTGAAGTATTGCCAGCTTTCCTCGGAGGCCAAAGGGTTGATTCGAAAGGAGATCCCATGTGTTCTGAGTTCGTAAGTTTCGAACATTCAACTTTACTCTGTCTAAAGAAATTCTGGTATACTTTACAGTGATAAAAGTTAACTTTACAGTTAAGGGTTACTCATCTTATTAGCTAAATGTTCCGTTCAAAATATATATTACCCAGTGCGTTTAATGAATTATCTTTCCAGGCTAAACAATAATTGAACTAAATTTGTACAAGAACTTAAATAAACCTAAAAGCTATAGCCGAATGAATATGTCTATATCAGGAATTAAGGGTATTCTACACCACTGGAAATTAACGCAGTCTTCTCTTACATTATAAATTAAACTTTCTTTGCAATCTCAGAGGCTATTAGCACAAGTTTCGCGTTGTTTTGCTTTGCTATAAAAATCAATCATCTACTTAGAATTTTTTTAACTGGAACTATGCTATTTTTGAAAGCATAAATTATCGTCTGCTACATGACAGCTTTGTTTTCATGCAAAATAGAGCTTTTAAAGCAGCAATAAATGGAAGGTTATGTTTGTGCACTTTTCGAAGAAAATTATTTGTATCCATTTATTAAAAAGCGCTGTAAAAGCCGCGATTTTTAGATATCTAAAGTTACGATAAGTAACATTATCAACAAGAAATGAACAAAACGTCAAAGTTTAGCTTCAAGTGGAAAAGTTTCGAATGCTGCAGAGGTAAGATCTTTAGTGCTAAAAGAAAATCCGCCAAAGAACAATTGCAAAATCACTAAACTGTAAACAAAGTGATTTGAATCTTAAAAAGACTAAAAAACATATACTGTTCGTTGTTCTTTCTCAAGGAAATATCTCCGAACTCAGAACGAGATGCAAAATTCTTTATCAGAAGTATTTATCATGAAAACAATTGTAAACATATTATCACAATAGGTATAGATGGTTGTATTTAAATGACTTCAATAAAAAGAGACCCATGTATTATCATCAAAGGGAAGAGAAAATCTTAGAACACAGTTCAAAGAATCTAAAGTTTTTCAAATGGAGTTATGATTTTTCGTGATTTTTCATATAACGGCAAATTAAAAATAAAGCAAATAGAGCAAAATGTTAAGATCATCTTCGCATATTATCAGGAACATATTTTATACTTAATTTTCGAATATGAAATACCTCTACCCACAGCGCCATCAATGAGTAGAACTGCATCAAGACAAAGCAAGCAGACACACTTCAAAATCCACTGTTGATTTCCAGAAAATAATTAAACAAGAAACGGATATCAAAGTCATAGATTACACTTATAACGCTACTAAATCTCCTGAAGTAACACCCATGGATTTTTGCACTTTGGGACTTTTAAAAAGCGGATTGCCCAAACAAAACATGGACCTACAACCCTCTTTGAAATTTGGAAAGCAAAAAAGGAAGATGGGATAAAATACCTATTCCGATACTACAAAAGACTTTATTATGTTACAAATTACGGTGTAGAAAGATGGTGAAGAATAAGGGTTATGAAACAGAACATTTAAAACACAAAAATTTTAGATAAAATATTTCTGTAAATACAATGAAAATCGTCTAAAGAATGTACAAAACTCCTCTGTCTGTAATTTAATAAATAACATCCGATACTTATTTCTTCCTCGAATTTAATGTAAACTCAGTTTATAATCCTTTTCAGAATAAGATTCAGAAGGGAAAGAGAGATTCAGAGGGAGAGTGTTCTCTTTCAGCATCTGCGCCAATCACAACAAGTCAGCAAAGTCATTAAATAAAATAAACATGTTGTAGATTTTTTTTCTGAGTTTTTATTGCATATTCGTATGCATGTTCGTAAGCTTTCAGAAGGTGGTTTGTCAGTCTGATATTCTCTGCTTGTTTTGATGTAATTTACTTACGCTGTCGTCCTAACTTCACTGCTAAAGACCCATCGTTTTCATATCATGAAATCTTTTTTATTTATTTATTTATTTTTCTTACTATTATTTTCTTCCCCTTTTTTCCCCATTCCCCAATGGATAGACGTCTCAGTGCTCAGCATTCAAAAAAATACTTCACTGAAATCTGATTAACAAGTTACAGTCATATAGCCAGTAATTCTTCATCTTATCCATACCAAACTTCTTCATTTCTTAAAAGAATCATCGAAAAGAGTGAGATTATGCACGTGCTGTTTTCTTCCATCGACATTTTCCACAGCAACAAATTATATTTTAATAATTATTTATTATTATTTTTAAATTTTTCTTAAAATTATGATTTCATGTTCCCAAAAGCATTTGCACTAAATGTGATTTACTCATAATACACCGTGTTTCAAAAAGAATATACGTATTACAAAGTGTTATTTTGTCCAAACTATCGATCACTGCGCCTTGGCTCGACTATTGGCGAAACGGATACATAGTCTAGTTTATATTAATAGCCGCTAGATGTCAGTTGTCTTCTGTTTTGCGTGGTAACCGTCGCATGTTCAAAATGGCTACTCCACAGCAGAAATCATTTTGCGTTCTCGACTTTGCGAAGTGCAATTCCGTGATTACAGTACAAAGACGTTTCAAGTTGAGGTACCAAAGTGGTCATCCGAATGGGTGGAACATTCGCAGATAGTATCGACAGTTTGTAAATACAGGATGTGTATGTAAAGGAAAGAGTCGTGGCCGCCCTCGTGTTCCCGACGAAAATGTTGCACGAATTCAGACTGCTTTCCAATGTAGTCCTTCAAAATCCATTCGTCGTGCCAGTCGGGAGTTACAACTGCCTACAACGACAATTTGGCGTGTTGAGACGTCAGTTGGTTATGTACAAGTTACATTTGTTACAGGCTCTGCGTCCTGATGACAAACGCAAACGTGTGCCATTTTGTAACGAGATTATTGATACTATTGACAATGATAAATCTTTCGCACAACGCATCGTGTTCAGTGATGAAGCGACTTTTCATGTTAGTGGTCATTTAAACAAACACAATGTTCGAATTTGGGGCCTACAGAACCCGTATGCAGCCATTGAACATGTACGAGATTCGCCCAAAACCAATGTGTTTTGTGCGATATCCCGATCATCTCTTTACGACCCATTCTTCTTTGATGGAAACATGGTTAATGGTCAGCAGTATCTCGCTGTGTTACAAAACTGGTTTTTCCGAGGCTGCACGAAGACAACTTCATTTTTCAACAAGACGAGGCACCCCATCACTGGTGTCGCCAAGTGCGTGATTATCTGAATGAAACTCTAACCGAACCGTTGGATTGGTCGTCAAGGAGCTGGCGACTTAGCATGTCTCAGATGGCCTCTACGGTCACCGAATTTGACACCCTGTGACTTCTTCCTGTGGGATTTCATTAAAGACAACGTTTATCTACCTCCACTCCCAGAGAACCTGGAAGATGTGAAGACCCGGATCCGTACTGTCATAACATCAGTGACATGCTTGCCCGAGTATAGGATGAATTTGAGTATCGATGTGATATTGTTCGTGTTGCTGATGGAGGACATACTGAACATCTGTAACATTTGTAATCTGAACTTGAAAGGTTCATACATATGTGTGTAAAGTTTCACATTCGCATGTCATACAGTTTAATAAATATATGCATTTGAAATACATATATTCTTTTTAAAGCACACTGTTTATTAGTACAGGGTTCTGAACAATCTAATTTTAAAACATCTTATGTACAGGTTAGTAGTTTTAATCAGTTATCCGATTCGGACATACTTGGAGCCCGTTCTGACTGACGTATTTCACTGAAACGTCGTACGTATGTTATGCGAACCGCGAGAATAAGAAAACGGCAGTGAAAATAATAGGTAAAATTTCGACCACCAAGTGAAAAGATGGCGCATTAAGAACAAGAAAATCAAATTGGAAATATAAAATTTTATTTAATCACAACATATCATCACATTTCGGTCTCTATGGAAACGACAAGTGAACATATTGGCATAAAAAGGAACTAATATTCTCCAAAAGTTTTATAGAGAGACTCTGCGCTCCACTCTTGCTAAATTAGAAATGAAGAGAATATTCAAGCGATAGTTTCATCGTATGACTTCCTACGCTGCTGGTGTTGAGACCCGGAGTTCTTTGTGGTAGTCACAGCGCTGGACTCACTCCGTGTAGCCGCAGTGGCCGACTTTAGACTTTTGATCGGACAGAATTGGCTTAGTGCCTCTTTGTTTCTTTTTAAACTGACTATTCACCTGAATATCTTCTATTCGACTCTGGACAAGTCTTGCCTATTGCTCATGTAGACGTGTGCTCTTCACTAAATGATTTGGATTGTATTGTTAAAAGGTATTTGAAAGCTAATCGCCTAATGTCCTGATTATCAGTACATGCCTTCGTGGTATATTAGAAGCACACCCGACGCGCATTCGACATGCGATATGCGACGGAGGACGTGGTCGCCACCCCTCTACCAAAACGGTTAATCGGTATAGCTCCACGTCCACCTTTATCTAGATAGCCACTCAGAGGCCTTGCGGACGCCTCGCAAACCCAGCGCCCGATGCATCCTCGAGGGCAGTCCAGCAGACCAGAGCGCCCCCCGGAAAATCATCCCCACACAACTGCCCAGGCCTCAATATTTATTGATTCAGTGATCCAGTAATGCGTGCATGTAAGGCCTGTGCATAGATACTTACGGCTTGCTTACGAAATCCTTGCTAATAATCTTTCTGTCATACTTGCAGAGATGCTAATAAAAATATACGCGGATTCAGATATATGTAGAAATGAATATACAAATATGTTATATGCAGTATTACGCATATATACGCTGATACAGATATAAGTAGATACAATGATCTGCAGATGATGGTACCGCTACGCTGAAGCATATGATAAAGAACAAAAGGTGCATGAGATATGTAGGGTGACATAAATAAGAACCTATATAAGGTGGCATACATAAAATGACACACACGTACTTAGAAACATAACGTGTAGAGTAAGTTACACATTACGTGATGATACGAGATAGACGATACAAGATGCAGAAGACTATGTAGATGGTCAGGATACATGATACAAGGAGCAGAATAAGTTACATGATACAGGATGTTACGAGATAATACATGCAGATGTCTGGATACATGATGATAGGTACAGAATAAGCTATATGCTGTAGGATTATGCTAAATATATGATACGAGGTACAGAAGATAGCAGTATTCGCAGTTGATACATAAGAACATACGATGGCTACAGATAGACTGTGCAGAAGATACGTATATATTCAAATGCCTAAATACATGTTACGTAGGAACATGGGGTGCATGAGATGTATAAGGTGACATTCATAAGAACATATCTAAGGAGACACACATTGGCTGACGTACACATACTTAAGAGTATAAGATATATAGGTGCAGAATAAGTTACATGTTACAGGATGTTACGAGATATATTATACAAGATGCTGTGGATACAGATATATGCAGATGCCAAGATATATGATACGAGGTGCCAGGATACATGGTAGAAGGTGCGAAATAAGATGCATGATACAGGATTATGCGGAATTCGCATTCGAGAAGTAAAGGGTTCCAGTCCCGGCGAGAGCACTGCAAATTTTTCATCTGTCCTACTTCAAAAGAGGACTAATGGTCCCCTAGTCCCCAGTCGCCCTTTAAAAGGGTGAGTGTATAAGGTATTTATTCCCTCCTTTCCGCGTGTCTTCATGGTGTACTTGGAAGTATACTCGACGCGTAGTCAAAAGGACCTGGGTTCGAATACCTACGACGGCATTGCACATTTTTCATGTCCCCTGCATAAAAAAAAATAACGACTCTACGCTACAATATCATTTGTTTGAGGTGGACCATAACTGAGCTCTGTGTCATACAACTCAAGGGCTGCGATTCGACACGTATGGCCACTTACTAGAGATGCAATTTGTTATACAATGAGTTTGTAACTCACAGACATACTATTTTACAAGTCCATAGTTGCCAGCGGACTCGTGCTTTACACATCTTATTCTATTGCCGCCGCCAGTTTCAAAATTCCGCACTTTGCACCTCTTGTTTTTTTTTTCACGTATTTAATCAGTGAAAGCGTCGTTACAATTGTCATCGACAGGCCGGACAACTCTTTTGTAAGAGCGATTATCGAATTTGTCAGACTTGTCTTGTTTTAAGGAGAATTTCAGTGTTATTTCTTAGGTCTCCTTAAGTTATTTCAAGTATTTTCCTTTATCTATAGAAATGTTACCACTTATTACACTCAAATATTCATATTTTTTTCTGATTTTAGCTTGATTGTTTAGGAGGTCTTTGCGAACTCTTATAACTTTTATAACGTATAAATATGAGTCAGTTTATCTTAGATATTCTTCAGGAAGGCATTTTTATGTACGCAGACAGTTGTCGCATAGTTAGATAATTCTCGCATATCTTACTGCAACTGATTAATACAAGAAAGCTACGTCCGCATCTCATGAATTATGCTAAAAATATACCTATTCTAGCAAGAAGAAATAAACTAACTGGAGTGAAAATAAAATATGTTTCTTTTTTAGATCAAATTTGGAGGCATCGTTCCTGTAGAATATTATATATACAACAAACCTTATCTTCAGAAGAGAAACCCTAATTCCGAAACCATATTGATTCCACCTAGATCCTTCTACAACTACCCAATTATTGTCCGAGAAGCAAATTCTATCTTACGGATAGAGTTCGATACAAAAGGAGGCTCTGTTCCTATAACGTTAATCTTCAGACCATTCGGTAAAGATCCAGAGTAAGTAATAAGTTCTTTGTAAACGCATTAGTTTCCTTTTGTTACAATTAAAGTTAGCAGCATAAGTTTATGCTAGCCGCAATGGCTTCGCGAGTACTTAATCATAGACCAGCAGAGGTTTAGTTAGCTGCTTTAGTTTTGATTTTGTTCAGCTTTATCTGAACGTTGTGTTTTAATTTTCCGCAAGATAACAGAGTTTATTTTCCGTTACAAGTCTGGTATGTGAAACCGTCAATCCGATCGGCGTGTTACTATACAACTTTATTTTAAACTTTTTTTTAGTTGTAACTTTTCACTTTGTTATAAGACAGACAGGAAGAAAGGTCGTCCGACAGTCTCTTAGGGTTATTCATAGATGAATGAGCACTTTAAAGTATTTTTAGCATACCCGTATAAAATGATTGAATCTCGAAACTGCAAGAGAGAATCTATCATTTTACTTCAATGAAAAGGACTTTACTGACTGATACTATGGGTACTGATCGTAAAAGATTTAGGAGATCTATAAAACATACAAAACATGCAATTTTATCAACTATTCTATTGCTAATTTCACGGGATATTTAAAATAACTTTTTAAAGATTTTAATTCCAATTTTCATCAATTATCAAATTTTAAACCATTCATACATAATTCCTTTTCCTTTTACAGAAGAAAATACCTTTATTGGAACTGCAGCTCCAATAAAGAGAAAATCCGTAATTATAAATAATAAAAAGGGATATGACTTTAAAATAGAAACAGAAAAAGGACATCTTTTGGAACTTATTGTATGACTATATATGTCCATGAAGACAATGTGTCTTAAGAATGCACGCTTATTTATATTTTGATATCTTACTAAGCTCTTTATGATGTTTTTATCTCTCTTTATGATGTTTAATCTCTTTATGATATTACAACTATCTTTCATACCCTATTAAAATCATCATTTATAATCTTGATGAACTGAAAATTGTAGCTACATACAATCGAAAACATCTACATACAGTAATCAAAATACATGTATTTGCATTTATATTGATATTTAAAAAAGTAAATAAACAAATAAATGCATCTTAATAAACTCCGACATAAATTTATATCTAATCAAGAAAATAAATTATAGCTTAAGATAAAATAACACGCCGAACAAATATTAATTTAGAATTCAAACAACAAAAATCAGCTATATATTTGCAAATCATTATCACTATGCTTTAATACTTATTATAAATATATTGCCCAGTTAATGTGAAGTATCAATTAGGAGTTTTTTTTTTTTTTTTTTTCATTCGATTAGGAGTAGGGCCTCGTTTACCCCATTCAACTGACCTTAACGTATCTTTTGCTAGATGACCCCTTTTTTGTATTCCGATCACTCCTTCACTAACTAAGAAATAACTAAGAAAGGTTGGATACTATACTACTTCAATAACTAAGAAAGGTTGGAGTTAAATTTAGTTTTAAGGGTTATTTTATAAATCATTTTAATACCGTTATTCTTTCACAGATGGAGCCATAACTCGCCTGTTGGTCTAGTAAGATTTTAAGGACTTTATGTTAGATTTACGATGAATGTTTCCAAAATTCCAGAAATTTTTTCTTTCTTCAATTTTTGCTAATATTACAATGCAGGTTCTTAATATAACCCCGTTTAAATTTTAATCGCTCGATGAGTCAGTTATTAAGGTTATTAAGAATTCAGCGACGAAAATCTTTCTAAATGTTTCATGCAAGGATTTCCAAACACCATCTTCAGATATCTGAGAATGCATTTTTTTTTTTTTTTTTTTTTTTTTTTTTTTTTTGTTTGTTTTTGTTTTTAGGGACTTGGATATACCATTGAGAGATGAGTATCTAGACACTAATAATGAGAAGCACAACGTTTTTCTGATCAGCCCAACTATCAGGCCACAAACCCACCTTGTTCCTATCAATTACCACAATTATGCTCCTTGGCCGGGAATTTGTAAGTATACAAATAAGCTACTTTTAGATAAATGAGAGGCGTAGTGACCTTACAATTCTCGTACGTATCTCATGAAAACGCTGAGAATTTTAAAAGCTTCACTTTTAATAGGGGGACCGGAAAGTAATGTCGTTTCTGCGCATGTCGACAACATCACGCTAAGGGCAGAAGTGGAAGCAAATCCATGTCAAACACTCTTAACCAACCTTGGTCGACCATCCAAAGAACATTTAAAGCAGATTGAACATGGAAAATAAGCCAGAGCAGGTGTTTGAGTCCCCAAATAATCTGTCCGAAGAAGAACAAAGCCAACCGAATCCATCACATGTAACGTATTGCTTCAACGGCAACCATACAGAACCGTTTTTTTGATCGTTTGATTAGTGGAGACGAAAAAAATAAGTTCTTATATGATAATCCAAAACTCAAAAAGGACAGTTTTAATAGGGGTTACAAAGGGTTTACGTCCCGACAAAGGCGCTTCTGTGTGTTTGGTGGAGTATTCGCGGAACTGTTCAATTTGAATTGCTGAAACCTGGATAAACTGTTAATGGAGATCTTTATTGTGAACAACTGGATCGAGTGAATCAATCTTTAATCGAAAAATATCCGGCGATTGTCAATAGAAAAGGCATCATTCTACAAGAAGGCAATGCAAGACCGCACTGTGCAAGACGAACACAGGAAAAAATGAATGAATTGGGATGGGAGGTGCACCAACCATACTCGCCCGATATCGTACACTCGGATTTCCATTTATTCCGATCCCTACATTTTCTTAGTGCCAAAAAAATTGAAAATTTGAATGATGTCTAAAATGCGATCTTGAGATATTTTACTCAAAAACCAATTGATTTATATCGGTCTGGGGACTGAAAATCTGCACACTAGATGGCAAAAGGTTGTTGACAACGAGGGTGATTACATTATTGATTAAAAATAAAAACGTGTTACAAATTTATTCGTGGGAATTTAATGTAAGAAAGCGACATTACTTTCCGGTCCCCCTATTATTACGCAATCATGTGATTTTTTTAAAACTTTTTAATAACATAGGCAAATATTTTTATGCCCATAATTTTTTAATTCCCTTTGATATTATGAGTGATCTTTAGATCATTTCTTATAATTTATGTATATATTTATGTGTGTGCTTGTGCGGCGTGTGTAAAATAAAAAGCACTTAAATTAAATTTCTGTCTGTATTTCGGTCACAATTTTTTTTTTTTTTTTTTTTTTTTTTTAACCTTTTTCGGACTAAAGAGACAATTAAGCTTTTCGGAATTTCATTTCTAATTTACATTATTGATTCTCTTTATTTTACTACTCGTTTACGTTTTATGTATTTATTATTATTATTTATTTTCGAATTTTTCCCCATTTGCAGTGCTACAGTACATTCGTTTATTTATTTTACTCGTATCTACTTGCGTAAGCCTCGCGGTATACCTTCTGGAACACAATGAGTTAAAATTAGAATTAACACACACACACACACAAAAAAAAAAAAAAAAAGAAAAAAAAAATTTCTAGCTTTAATTTCTAGCATACCTTTCATTCATATTCTTGCTAAATCTCCTGATCAATTACCAACGTATTTTTGTGCTTTTGTAAAGTAAAGTAAACTTTTAAAAAGCGGGTTATCCAAACGTCGACTTACAACGTCCTCAGATTTTGGAATGTTGTTCGAGAGCAATGGATAAAACACCTATTCCGATATTACAAAAGGCTTTATTATCATGGAAATTACGGTATATAAAGATAGTGAAGAATAACGATTATTAGACAGAATGCTTAAAACATAAAACTGTTAGGTAAAATATTTATGTAATTACAATATCTCTAAAAAATGTGCGAAGTCGTCTAAAAAATGTGCGAAGAGCCCCTGTACATTTTTTCTTAAAATTATTAATTTTTTACTTAATGAACCTGAATTTCAGTATCATTCAAGTGATATATATACAATATATATGTCTATATATGTGTGTGGTAAAAACAAACTTAGAAGTAATGACGAGCAGAAATCTTGATGGCGTAGAAGGAGTTGGTCCATTATGAATAGAAACTTGGAGGCGAAGGCAGATTAAATCTTCATTTTTTTATTTAAGCAAACATGTTGTGACCACAAACAATTAATGTGCCTATTCTAAAAAAGCTTACATTTTAGATGAATTTGCAGTAAGAATAAAGAAGCAGACAGATAGCAGTCCAGCCATGCCAAAGCGTAGAAAGCAAATGGGTTATGTTCAGGGTGAAGTCTTAATTCAGACTGAGTTAATTCCAGTTCTCAATGCATTTTGATTGAATAGTTAACAGTGCTATAAAATTACTATTGGCAGCTTGAGTTTTAGTTCCATTTACAGCCCCAGAATTAAAGAGTCATATGACATGGATTAATCTAAAAATGATGCAGTGCAGAAAGAAGTTACTATTTTTAGAATAGAAAAGGGAAGTTTATCTTGCTAATTTAATCTTTTACATATTCTTTATTTTTCTTACATATATGTGATGTACCAGCTTTTGTACGGAATAAATAGATTGGTGAAGAATCATAGATGTAGTCGTAGCTTAAATTATCAGACGATAATTAAAAAACAGGATCCCTTTATTATTGGTCAGGAGAAATAGCAATTACAAAAATCATATTTCCAGAGTAAATAAAAAAGAATTACTAATAACTTTTTGTATGAAGTTTACTGCATCGTTACATTAAAGAAAAGACCCCGATATTCTTTTGCGAGTCCTTTTATAGCCTCTGGAAAGGCGGAGCTTCCAAGAAATGACGTCAGCCTCGTCAGCCATTCCAGTTCGCTTTAAATATCTCCAGAACATTCTATAACTGTACGCGTAGAAAAACGCGAGAAAAACAACTTGACTACGGGGCTGTGGATTTAATTCCACGTACTTTCAAATAAGAGACCGTCGCCATTAAAAATGAAAAGAACATACAGTTAGAATTTTAAGTGTATTTTTGATTATGGAATTTATTATTACATATATATATATATTTAAATTTATCTAAATGAAGAGAGGCTTTTTCTAAATACAAGACTATTTGTACGTTTGCTATTGTAATCGGGAATTCTGCAGACAGAAAACGAAGAAATTTGTGTGTTATGAATTAAATATAGCCTATTACTCGTCCTGTTTAACTAAGGACCCCTGTAACACATATCGATATCACATGTGCTTTTTAGTTTTATGCGAAAAATAACTTCAGTAATTTGATTTATTTTTCTTATAATTATCATGCTGTTATATGTTCTAAAGATTATTTGCGAATCCATATTTAGATTTAAACATTAGCAAGTACTATTTATGCATAATTCAAATTGTTATATTGATATCAAACCCTTTAACTATTATAATGGAATCTCACAAAAGTAAATGAATTTGTACCTAAAATTTCATTTCCATTAATTACTTAAAATTTCATTTTATTTTAATATAAAAATTGTTGCAGATTATTTTAGTATTTGACAGATGATTGTATCTTTTCACAGATATCTTCAAGTTCGATAATTCACGCAGTTTGCTGACATCAATAAAACTCGACCTTTATATCCAAGTTGAGCCACCTCATTCCTGATGTATATTGTATTTTATCGTAAAAAAATTCAACTATACGTAATTTATATCCTGATATAACGCATTATTATAAGCACATGAAGATGCTTATAATTTTCTTCCATATGAAATGATTTGTGAACTGCGAAAATATTCAAGTCTTAATTTAATGTCACTTAGTAAATATTTATTTACATTATTTCATATATATTTTCAATAATTTAATATTTACTTTTACATTATACTATTGGAATATTTACCATTACGTTTCTTTGTTATTAAGTTTGTTTAGTAAAAGAACCCATCTACCTGTTCTATTATCAGTCTGCAGATTAAAATAATAAATGAAAAAAAATATCTATGCAGGCATAAATTCATAAATTAGCTTGGTTATTTATGTAATATTTAATAAATTATATTGTTAATTACATAAGAAAATTAATGGAAACAGATTCATTCATGTATCTAACTTAACATGTAAATAACATGTGCTTTCCCTTAACATATTCTTGCATGATACATAACTAACTATAGTTTCTTTTATTGGAAGAGCAATTCGATTTCAAAGCAATCTGAATTTTATTCATAGTTTATTTTTTATGGTTTTCTAAATACTTAGAATAGTATAAAATTTCAGAATTTGTTATGATAAATTATATCATTAATTTGAAACGTAGGAATAATGCAAACTACTTTATATGTTATGCACTTTTATTGTTATTAATGTCCTTCACTCGATAATTTTTTTGTTTTATTTATTCCTGTTAATGTAAATAGTTTAAGAGATAGATACATTTTGAATGTCTTGAAAATCCTCTGTTAAGTAAAGAAAATAAAAAACCTCATTTTAAAAACGGCATTTTCTTTAATGAAGCACAATAAAATTCAAATATTTTCATATCAAAATTATTATTTTTTTTTTAATAAAACGAAAAAAAAGATTTTAAATAAATAACTAACTAAATTAAACGCCAGTAATATTTATATATATAACTAATAAATAATTGTTATTTCTGTCTAATTATAAAGCTACTATTAGCATAAAACTACATTTAAAAAGGCTTATTGTGAATATGTCGTTGCTAATTCAAATAAATAACTTGCAATAATAATATTCTGTAGTGCATGTTAATTTTTAATGAATGCAATAGAAGAAGTTGCACTTTTAAAAAAGGGCAGTACTTATTATCGTGGAAGGAAGTTTAATATAAGAAATAAATGTTACAACAAATTGTATTTCCTGAAAATATTTAACACATTGAACAACAGGACGCAGCATTATACAAAGAAAAGGAAACTTTTCCTGATATAAAAACACACAGACAGCATATTAACGCAGCTGACCATAACATTTCTAACGTTTATATTCAAAATACTGCTAGAATATTATGCATGAAATACAAAACTGAATCAAAAGGATCTTAGATTTTTATTCTTTCATAGAAATCATGCAATTATCTGCAATCCATGCAATTATCTGCAAATGCTTATAAGTGATATATCTTTAATAATAACGAAAACCTTATATACATTTATAATCTTCATATATAATTGTTGACACATCTATAGCCCAAAGCGGCGTTAGTCCAGAAAGGTTCAGACGGTGGTATAAATGTCAAAAATGGTTTGAGCCGACCTTCGTTGTTAGGTTACCAGACTCAGCAACATTTGGTTTAGGGATTTTGGCATAAAGTTTGAAGTTTTCAATTCGATGCCGACATGGTAAAAAGTCGACCAATCGGAGCAAAAGCCGGAAACCTATTGACCGGAAGAGCTGACGACACAACCACGCATGCGCAAATTTAATTTCTCTAACTGGCTACGGCTTACACCCTGTCTCACAAGCATGAACAGAAGCCCTGCATTTTATGCCTTATGCCTCTGTGACATTTATGCCACCGTCTGAAAGGAGCATTAATCTCGAAAAGCCATTTTACATCGGTTAACTATAAACGTCCATTTCAAATTGCTTCTACCAGATATTATCGCCTTATATTATAAATTTAGAGAACGTAAATAATCAAAAATGTGCATCAATGTATATATGTTTCTCTCAGTGTGATAAAACAACGGTACCTAGAACCATCAAATTTTGAATAACTTAATACTCCACCCAAATATGGGCAGCTGGAAATCAGAATTTGCTTTATTTTCTATTTTATATTTTGTAAAATCTTAAAGAATTTTTGATTAAGAAAGTCAACGATTTCAAAGCAAGCAGTAGCAATACTATATGGGAGAAAAAATTATATCTATAGCGCGAGATTGTCTATCAGAAATTTTAAAGATATGCTGTTTTTAAATGTTTTCCTGCCTGAAGGAACATTAGCCTAATGATCTCGAAACTTGTATGTGTGTGTAAATGAAAAAAATGACCCTTTGTGCTTTAATATAAAATGTGAAAGCTTTCAGATCTTTTTTGTATATTTTATTGTAAAAATTTCTACATTACAGCACGTTGCATGAAATTTCGCTACACTAAAACTTTTTTGTAACGAATTATTTACTTTTCCTCCTTTTGAACATTTTCTTCACTAGCTTCTGATACGGAAGCAGAAGTGGATTGACTACTACGTTTATCTTTCCCTTTTTTATCTTTCCCTTTTTTAAAAAGCTTATTCAAGGAAAATCTTTTTCCGGTGATTTCTTCGATCAGCTCCTCAGACTTTTTGCACTCAGAATTTGTATTTTCAGAAGTTTCTTCTTTACCCCATCGTTTCCTAAAAGTAAAAATACCATTATAATCATTCTTGGTGAAATAGATTATTTGTTTTGCTAAATTATAAAACAATAAAACTATAATTAAATTAGTTAATTAATAAAAGTAAATAATGTTAGCATTATTATTTTGAATTAAAAATTTTAAAACGAACACGCCTACATGCATTGAATAATTAAGTCATGTAAAAAAGCGATCATCACATCAATCATTTATTTAAAATTAAACTATTTATTAGAATCATGTGTTAATCTTGTTTATTCCTACATTATTTAAAAGTATCGTTCAGGGAAAACAGCGCATAGTTGTAAGCTCTCTTTTATATGTATTATATTTTTAACTGTTTAATAATTTGAATTAATTGGTCATTTATCATTTAAATGATTAATTTAAAATACTCATGATTTGATCAATCATTTAAAATTACTAAATCACGTTTCTCATGCTTCGAATATCAAGCTAAATTTTTGTGGCTATATTGTTCCTGTTCTATTATTATTATTATTATTAATCATGTTTCGTAAACAATATTCTATGAATTTTAGACTATTTTACCCCTCATTATATTTTGCATAAGTAAGAATCCGATGCGGACACCGCTTAACTTCTTTGTACAGAATATTAATTATGCTCATTTTGTTGCTGCATTTCATTTAAATTTATTTCCTCGAATTTTATTAGAGACATATTTCTCATTCAATTAATTCAGTTCTCACTTCGTGGCAAGGCAAAAAGGCATTAAACCTCAAAATATCTTCATTAAAAACTGAAAAATACAAAAAAACGTAAAACACCAAATACAGTTAAGACATTTTTTTTTAGAATTAAAATTAGAGTTTCTACGTAAAAACAAGCAATTCGGCCAGCAGGCAAGAAGGCATATTTTTCGGTGCATAAAACTAAAAGTTTTGTTTTGGTCCTACTCGGCAAAAAGACACTGAAGGTGCAGAAAGACTTAATTCACTATTCTGCTAAGTTTCAAATGTAAACAAATATGGCTGCTGTAGTGAAAAAAAAGGCTTCGTCATACTTGAATAACTTTTAAATTGCTTGTAATTCTACAACTATTGCATGCAGATTAACTAAAGAACTAAAACCCTCAACCGGAAGATAAGAACAACATAATTCAATCATTTTGAAAGCACGAAATGCACAATTTACCAAGATATAAGAATAAAATAACTGAGCTCACGGAGCGGAGTGACAGAGTGGGTACATATATATGTTACTGTAAAAGCAGGAAGTCTGGTAAATCCTATATTTTTACCGGTAAAACCTAGCTTTTACTAAAATGGTTTGGTAAAAGTCCGAATTATGCTTTAATATGACTCCATTTCTGACTTCCACCAAGCCTTTGCGGTAAAACCTAGGAGTTCCCAACGCCTTCCGGTTAAAGCCCGAAACGAGGGATTACTTAATGATACGATTTTCTATTCACAGATATAGTGTATACAGTATGTACTAAAAAACGTTAAAACACACTTTTTAATTGGTAACACAAATTGTAAAAGTGATCTAACTAAGGTATGATTTAAGATAATGTCGATGAAACTGTCTTACAATTATTTTTCAGAGTTACAAGAAATAAAAATAAAAAAATGCAATATTTATACCATTTCACAAATAAGATCCCTTGTGAAAAGCTGAACTAATGCACAATTTTCTCGATAACTACTGAAGAGATTTCAATAATTTAAAAAAAATAATTTTGACAATAGTTAAAAGAATAAAATTGATAGCTCAAAAAATTAATAAAAATTATGAAATTTAAAAAATACGAAAAATGTTGTATGTTTTTCTTTAATACATCTAACACTTCTTACTATCTGTTACAACAAGGTTGAGTGTTATGGCATTATAAATTTAAAAGTAGCTCAGCTTTTGTAGTAACTACTTTGAACAGTTGCATTTTCTGAGTCCTTGTCCCCCAATTATAGAAAGTTTTTTTTATTACTTCATGTACTCTTATTTCTCCCATACCAAATTCGTCAGAGTTAAAAATGTTTTCTTTGCAAAAGGTAACCTGGTTGCTTGTGTACAACGAATTTAATTTACCAAGGTTAGTACAAAGAACATAAACCTCATCATTTTTAGCCTCTGTAACAATGGCTATTACTGATTTTAAATTCATTTTTCGATCTATCAATATCAGGTACTTTTATTTTAACATTTTATCCTAGACTAGGTTTCGAAAAGTTTTTAGTAGACGCAATGTTCATCTTCTTTGTCTTGATACACAAGTCCTTCCTTAGCTGTCTTTTAAAACATTTTGAACTTTGATTATAATCGCACCCATTGTGTGAGAGCATATATCTATTTCTATTATTTTTTTTTTAAATTTGAACTTCAGTATCTACTTGCATCGTTAAGCATGATTCTTTTTAGTCCGAAGGGGCTTTGTCCCTGAAGGACAATTGTTTTCGTTTTGCGAAATTGCGTTGTATCACTATAAACGGCGAATCACTTTTCAAACTGTTGCCACCAAATGTTAGAGTCCAGCATTATATTTCAAGAAATTAAATAATGAAAAATCTGCATAAAAATATGTATATTTCTCTCATTGTGATAAAACAACGGTACCTAGAACCATCGAATTTTGAATGACATAATCCTCCTACGAATATGGGCATGTGGAAGACCAAATTTCAAATTTAGAATTTGTTTTATTATCGATTTCATATTTTGTAAAACTTTAACGACTTTTTGAGTAACAAACTCTAGCGATTTGAAAGCGAGTATTGGCAACACTCTACGGGAGGAAAAAATCTTTTTATCTCCCGCGCGCGGATTGGAAATTCTAAAGATATGCCCATTTTAAAATTATATTGCGACATTGTTATTGAACTGAATTTTATGGTTTAAGTGCAAAGAACATGATATTTAATAAATAAAGGTAGCACATTAAACGTTAAAAAAACGCCCCTTTTGACGTAATTTAAAACCTGAAACATTTTTTTTTAACATCTATTATTATTATTATCTTGCGATTCGAAATCAACTGTTCATTCGAGATTAGTGCCTTCATCTTCTATATTAACCATGCATTCATTACTAATATTTACAATTTTTTAAGTCCTCTTCAGTGGCCATGTTACTAATTAAATTACGTGGAAAAACTGAGCAACTTCATAGGACAGCCAAACATAGCTTTGTAAAGTGAAAATTTAATTTCCTTATGCTTTTGCTTTATTTTTCATTACTTGAACAAATTTTAGTCCTCTCGACCCCATTTATATCTTATTTGTTTCCATCCATGTTAACATATTCTCAACGTCTTCGTTCGCCCGTCCTACAGAGCCTTGACTGACTGTGCCTTGGCTTACTGACTGTGCCTTGGCTGACTGACTGTGCCTTGGCTTACCGTGAACTATTTTTATATCACTCCACATTTTGCATAAACCAGGGTTTCTTAAACTTTTTTCAGTCGCGATCCCTTTTTATCACTGAGATTCTTTCGCGACCCCCAAGACCCATAATATTTACAAAAATTTTGTGGAACCCCATAAGCATTGCGCAAATCCGACACACGTGTGCGTGAAACTGTCAATTTCTTCACTTTTGACTGTAATATACTATTGCAATTTTAGGCCATTACTTTTACTTTCTAATTTTAAGACATAGAACAATGTGAAAATTTTTAATAAGTAACAGACGAAATGACAGCGGCACGTGCAAAGCAAGTAAAATGAACGTTTCTATTATGTAAAGAATGTGTCGAAACGTTTTCCTTTTTGTCTGTACTGTCTTATCTTTATGTATTTTAAGATACGTTGTGTAAAACTATTTGGTAATTGTAAAATTATTACAATAAGTTGTAGAGACATTAGGAATTTTTGAAAGCCGAAGAGATGAAAAATGAGCAACCGCCTTCGCCAGGAATCGAACCACGGACCTCTGGAATACCGGCCCTGCGTGCAGAGCCACTACACGACGAAGGCACGCTAGGAAGGCGGGAGAAATACCTCATATATTCCCCCCCTTTTAAAGGGCAACTGGTGTTTTTAGGGGAACCAATCGCCAAATCCTGGGTGTGGAAAGTCATCCTCCACAACCATTTTAGTTCGGGCGCCACTGTAGAGACATTAGGATTTTTGGAAGCAGAAGAGATGAAAAATTAGCCATGCCTTCGCCGGGAATCGAACCACGGACCTCTGAAATACCGGCTCAGTGTGCTGACCACTACACCACGAAGGCGAGAGAAATATCTTTTAAAGTTAAAAAAATATCAAAACTGCTAAATTTTTTGGCGACCCCCCCCTGCTGCAGGTCACTCTGCCCCCCGGTGGTCGCGACCCACAGTTGGAGAAACGCTGGCATAAATAGTTAGGTTGCAAAATTCGCTCCCATTGTCGTAATGGAGAACGTTCCAGGCTCCAAAAACTTCTTAAAATATCCATAAGGTTTTATCAACAGATGGCGCCACTAGCTTAGTTTCTGTCCAGGTTTTCTTATCTTATCTAATCATTAAAATCTATCTCGTTCATTTGCGCTTTCGCAGCTGAGGATGGTGGTTCGGTAAAATCATCGAAACTAGTCTTGTGAAAATTTGAAAATATAACGCTGATTTTTGTTGTTTGATTTCTGATTTAGTATCCGTAAGGTTTAATGTTCCAAATTAGAATTTACAGCTAAATGTGTGGAACCTTGAGAACTGGTAAGGGAATAATCGCTTTAGTTCAGTAGACAGAGACTAGAACTCAGTAAGGGTTAAATACCCTTTATTTCTCAAAATAAATATTTAACAGTTGACTCCTTCTCGGAGTTTACAGCAAAGCCTCCACTTGGGCTAGAACTCATGAATACTAAGAAATAAAACTTAACTAAAAAGATATAGCCGAAGCTATCAAAGTTCTACAAGTGTTGGCCCCTTAATGCTAAGTAAACGGCGAATCTATCAAAAGCCTAAAGTACGGCCGAGCGTAAAAAGGCAAACGCGCGCTGGTCATAATCTCTGGCTCTCTAACGAAGATTCAGTAGTAGAATTAGTAGAACTTCAATTTTAAATACTTTGTCCTCTTTCATTTGCATTTATTTAACCACGATTCTGAAAAAAAAAACGTTCTGGCAGAAAATTGTAAGCTTAAATTAAGAGAGACAGGACAGAAGCTTTAAATAAAAATATCTGTTAGCAAATTAGGATAAACCTTACTAGGTGATATGTTACTTCATCAGCTCTTTTACTGTACAGACTTCGGAGTAAGACGAATTTTGTAAGATGATCTTTAGACATTAAAATGAATTTCGTATCACGATCAGGATGGGACTGCATTTCTATTAGGTGGACTTGGCATCGAGAATTCATTTTGCTATGCATACTGGTTTGATAACAGTCCACCTATTTTACAGTTTTTCGCTTTTTCTGACATGGTTCACAACGATAGATTCTACTATTACATTCTTGTACTTGAGATTCAGTTCCTTAATCATACGGGTTCTTCTACTATGGCCAACGAGCGTTGCGTATGATGCTGAAGATTTTATCAATTGGTAACGTAACGCAGGATTTCTGATTTTTCCACAAATAGTGGTGCTATAAGTTTGTCCTCTCCTCCAATGTTTAGAGTTTCAACCTTCTGTAATGAGCTGATTGTTTTTGCTTCACAAATTTTGCTTCTTTAACTTCATTTATTAAAGAAGTGTATTTCTCATTTGTTAAATAAAAGCTGCTATTGTGCTTATTTTTGACATATTCAGACAAAATGTCGTAAACTTTTTCTGCATAACATTACTCATTTCCTTTCAGCAAAACAAAAAGGACAAAATATGTTGAAAATGTAAACAAACTGCTTCTGTTTTAGATCGTAGCCACTTACTTTGTTTGAATTTGCTTCAAGCTAGACTGCAAATGGCCCAAATAAGAAGAAGCAGGAATACAAAAGTGACGTGACGGAGTTTGCATGCTCAGGTTTATTCAGAGTCAACTTAAACCCCTTCTTTCAGGGTTTTAACGGAAGGCGTTGGTAACTCCTAGCATTTACCGCAGAGGCTTGGTAAAAGTCCGAAATGGAATCATATTAAAGCATACTTCGGATTTTTACCAAGCCATTTTGGTAAAAGCTAGGATTTACCAGACTTCCCGCTTTTAGAGTACAACATATATATATATTTGTAAGATCACCCTGAATAAGAACATAGTAGAGCACGACTTAAACATAATTAGCTACTTTATTTTACTTAATATGAAATAGAAAAAATGAAAAGATAAATTAGGTGAAAGTGAATGTTATAGGTAGGCTCACAACTAAGTCTCAGTCCAAACAGAATTCGATTAATGTAACGGTGAATATTTCTCTCACATCATCAGTCTCTAACAGTTCTACAGGCAGGTCTGCCCTCATATGGCTAGCTCGATATAATAGCATTTCAGCTTGTCTACAGGGAACTTGAGATTTTAAAGAAACACGTCTTGTTTCCCATCAACTCTTGGAAGATCTGCATTCGTCTGCTTGCCTCCGTTCCTTTCCACGTCTCGAAGCTATCTGGGCGTTGTCTCGATAGCGATGACGTGACGCCTTGCTGGGTAGAACTAAAAGTAGATGGAGTGGGAGAGTATGCTCGCACATAATATATACTAGCGGAAGTACTCGATGTCAGTTATGTTAGATTGAGAGTAATGCATTTAACAACAAAGAGAACGATACCGCTGTAATCCTTCTCGATAATAACGATGCAGAAACTACAATTCATAGTCATACATTTTTCAGTCTGATGCGATATGGAACCCGCATAAAATATTCCCATAGAAAAATAAGCTAATTCTGTCTGATTATATCAGCAAGAATGGCACGCAATTTTGAATGATTTTCGTCTCTCTAATCAAATGGTTGTGAGAGCTCAAGTTCCATCCAATACTTTACGTATATTCAATTTTAGTCGATTAAATGTGGCAAAAAATTTATCATAATTGATCAGAAATCAATAACGATAACAAACAAACAAACACAAAACTAGACATTCTTCTTTATATAGAAGTTTTGTAAAACTTGCAAATTTTTTATTAACAAACTCTATGATTTGAAAGCGAGCAGTAGCAACACTTTTCGGAAATAAACCATTTTTATCTCCAACGCGCGAGATTGTTGCCACTCTGAAAAATAAGTGCGAAAATTAAAAACTTTCACAGTTTTAAATTAGTATTTCGGCTGATTAAAGTCGTACGCAGATGGGAATAGTCGAAATGGCTTCCCACAAGTTTGTGGAATCGGGAATAATGTATTTAATGTTTGGCAATGCTAGAACTACAACATTAGAAACTATGCACCTTAGCCTTTCGTGCAGTCTAGAGCAAAGTTACATAGTATGCAAAACAATAACTGTGCTCGTAACATAAACACATATTAAGACAATACAATTAAACCAAGTCCTAGACATAGTACGCTACTTACTATAATGAAACTGAAAAATTACATTAATCCAATCCTAAGAATCCTAGGATTAAGCTACCTTAACACAGCAGTACATTAATTGTCCGCCAATAATAAAGCTGCACCCTTTAGACTAAGGAACATATCTACATTAGAGCTACTCACATTGATACATTAAGACATACGTAAACATATAGATATACATAAAAACATTTTCACGCAGTTCAAAGCAAATTTATATTTTATTGAACACAACAACAATGATCCGAATACAAACAAGTACTATTACAATACAATAAGGTCTAGTCCTAGGCACAAAATTCTACTTAAATGAAAACTGAATTATTATATTAATTCGAATAACTACATTATTATTTTACACGCATTCACATTACCTTTCATGCAATTCAGAGCTAATTAACGAAGTATGCAAGACAAAAACTGCGCCTCTAACCTAAACTAGTACTGTTACAACACAATAAGAACTAGCTCTAATCACAACATGCAACTGAAATAAAAAAAAATGTAATAGTACGTCAAACCAGTCCTAGGAATCTTAGGATAGAGGCAGCTAACTACCTTTACAAAACAATACATTAACTACAAATCGCTAATAAATCCGTATCCCGGAGGGGGGGACGGGTCCGAGGGTCTCCTAATCTCTTTCCCTATCACCAAACTCTCGAGAGGACTTTCGGCTCGCCGCATATATAAAGTTCCCCCGTGTCGCACAGACACTATACATTTACAAACATGCTAACCAGTCTCATGTCCGGCGGCATAATAATGTCTCGATTAATTTTACATGCAAAAATATGCCTCTTTTTTATATACTTAAGTAAAAAAACATTTTATTAACTAAAGGTTCTGCTATAGAGTTCCCCCATACCGCACAGACTACTAAGCATTATATTAACTAGAGGTTCTGCTATAAAGGAACCTTATAAGACAACAGTTTTTGTTTATTTTTATAACCGTCCTATTCCCAGATATTAAAATTGCTTTTATAAAATTTGTCATTTGATTTTTCGAAATTTTATGATGAAAAGTTTTAGTTTATTTAGTATGGTTTATTATGGAAAAAGCGCGGGCATCTGCCTAAGGAGAGAGATATCATCGTGTGCCAGAACATTCCAAAAAAATTAGAAAGCGTGAAAATACCCATGCAGACATCCCGTTTTGCCGGGGTTCGAAGCCGGAACGAACTACCAGTGTTCAGCGACTTTGGTGCTAGCATATTTAGAACCAAACTGTAAAGAAATAGAGACCATTGCTACCTTAGATTATTTTATATGTCAGTTTTAAAAGGGGAAAACAGAAAATAATAAACTCGAGTTAGAATGCTGATTTAATTCTCATAGCATATTGAAGTAATAGATTTTATTTAAATTTAGCACAATTATTATTTGAAGCAAAAATCTACTCACCTGCTTGGAGCAGCTCGGCTACATACGTTGTCCATAGAAATGCTTTTTTGTCCAATATGCAAAAAATTAACACCTGAAAGGAAGGATATTTATGTGAAATTAATATTTTCACAACACAGTATTTCACACATTTACGTGCCTCTAGTGTGTTTGCGCACGCTAGAAAATCACCCCACTTCTTTCCAAAAGCTTTAAAAATGCATATACACACTTATTTAGATCTAGATTACATTCTAATGCGTTTTATACAGGGTGTATCAGTATAGGTACAGGTGGGAAGCTAGGTCAGCACCTTCGTAGTACCACAGGTAATTGAGGTATTGCTGAACCTAGCCAACTGTCAAACTCTCCACCCCAGTTTTGAGGGAGAACGCCCCGGGTGGTGGTCCGAGGATCCCCCGCCCCTCTTCCCTTAGCATCAACCCCTTGAGAGGACTTTCTCTCGGTGAACCGAAGGTTCAGTGAAAGGCAAGTTTTTGCGCATTGAAATGCAGTCTGAAGAGGACTATCGTTCGGTGGCCCAAATTCTAAATAATCAGGGCGCCGAATACAAATCATTTAACTTAAAGCAGGATCGGCCTGTAAAGGCTATACTTCGCGGCTTACCTAATTCTGCAAAAGCTGAGAAAATTAAGTCCGAATTGCAATTATTAGGATATTCTATTATCAGTGTGACTCAGCTCCGTAGGCACAGGTCCCGTTATCCTATGCCATTATTCTTAGTCCAGCTAAATCCGTCTCTGAATGTTTATGATATTTTTGAAGAGACTTCAATGTTCGGGATAGAAATAAAATTCGAGAAACACATCGGGAAGAAGGGGCCGAGCCAGTGTTGGCGCTGCCAAGGCTTCTTCCACAGTTCCGCAGTGTGCACACTGCCAATCCGGTGTCTGAGGTGCGCCGGCCCGCACTACGCGTACCAATGCACCAAAGACCCGGAGGAAGCCAACACCTGCGCGAACTGCCTTGGGCGGCACGCAGCCAACTGGTTTTACTGCCCCAGAAACCCGGCAAATAAAAATAAAAACCCCCCCTATTAGATCGGATAACGGGATAGCGGGAAATCAAAATTTGTACCGGCTCCGGTTAAAGCTCCACTTAGCAGCACGGATCCCTCTTTTAGTGATGTCGTTTCCGGACGGAAAAATCCCGGACTACCATCATCTACCGAAAGGAACCGAAGCAAGCTCCTGCGTTGAAGCAAGCCCGAAGCAAGAGTCCTCTCCTTCCAGCCAACACCACCGGCCCAGGCTCCAGCCCCAACCGTAGATGATGGCAAGCTGCACAGATACCCTCAGGAGTGTTTTCCAAATCGCTTCGAATTTGGAATTGAGCATAAAATTCTCCTAGAGGCTTTTAGAAATGCTCTCCCTAGGCTCCGAAATGTCTCCACGGGGCCTGAGAGAGCATTTTACATTTATGAGGCATACTGTGGCCTCTTAAACTAAAGGCCTCAAGTTCAACTGTGCAACTAGTGAAGATTCTCTCCTGATCTCCTACTGGAACGCTAATGGAATCAAGAAGAAGATTCACGAAGTCCGGGATTTTATTAATGAGCATCACATGGACCTCTTCCTCGTTCAGGAGACACATCTGGTTGAGGGACTTAGCGCGAACATCGCGAATTATTTCTGCTACCGAAATGACAGAGAGGTATGCATCAGTGACACTGTTCGTGCTAGTGGCGGTACTAGCATTTATGTAAAACGCTCCCTAAAGCATTCTAGGATACCCACGCCACCACTGGAGGCCTTAGAAGCGACTATAGTACAAATTCATATTCCAAATTGTCCCCCAATAGCAGTAGCGTCCTGCTATATGCCTCCGAGACAGGGACCCGCATTTATCTCTGATCTCAGAAAATTAAGTGGTGTTGCAAATAACCTGATTATCGCAGGAGATTTAAAATGCCCGTCATAGAAGTTGGGATTGTGTCACTGCCAACAACTATGGCGATAAACTCAAAATTTGGGCTCAGGACGCCCGTATCCAAATTATTGCGCCAAACACACCTACCCATTACCAGTTTCCTGGGGGGTTAGGTGCTCCTTCCATTATTGATTTGGCCTTATTTAAAAATATTCCAGTAGATTATTCGATCGAAGTGATTCCGGAATTGTCCTCTGACCATTATCCGGTTCACCTCACCCTTAAAACATCCAAAATTAACCAAAATTTACCGGCGCAAGTCTCCACAAATTGGGACAACTTTCGGTATGTCTTGGAAAATGGTATTCTCCCCCCCTATCAAAATTCAACGATAATCAGGAGGTTGACTTAGCCATTGACAGGCTCAACCAAACCCTAGGAAGCGCATTTACAGCTGCTTCCAAACCCAAATTCAGGCAAAATTATATAAATTACCTGATCACATTAAAAATAAAATCAAAATTAAAAACCGCCTTCGCAGAGACTGGCAAAATACACGTTTGGAAAACTTTCGAGTGCAACTGCGAAGGATCCAGAATGAGATCAAGTCTGACATTAAGAAATACACAGACGAAAAATACGCAAACTATCTTAAGTCCTTAAAGACTTCTGATAATAGCCTCTGGGTTGCCAGCGCACGGCTTCGCAAACCAAAACACGACATTCCCCCCCTAATGGGCACGGTCAATGACCGGATGGCATTAACAGACACCGAAAAGGCTGAACGCATAGCAGACAGCCTTCAAACACAATTTTCACCTAACACTGGACTCATGTTCGATTCCTGTGCAGAGCACACGCATGAAGTCCAACACCAAGTTGAAGAATTTCTCTCCTCAGATACAAATTCTGAGGAACCCATCACCACAACAATGACTGAGATTTCTGCTTTTGTCAAAAATCTCACCCCTGCAAAAGCACCTGGCCTGGATAGGATTTCTAATCGCATGATTAAAAATTTACCAGTAAAATTCATATTTTACCTAGCAGTTTTGATAAATTCAATGCTAAGGCTAAAATATTATCCTCATAGCTGGAAGAATGCATTAGTCATTCCTATTCTAAAACCTGGAATGGACCCAAAGGTCCCTCAAAATTATAGGCCGATCAGCCTTCTGTCTTCACTTAGTAAAATTTACGAAGCTATACTGCTTAGATACCTGAATGATTTCTGCCGAAACCGAAATATTATTATTCCTCAGCAATTCGGTTTTCGTGCTAAACACTCAACTCAGGCCCAGCTACTGAGGGTAGTAGAAATCATTCATACAGGATCTCGCAGTGGAAAGCCTACAGCTATTGTTTATTTAGACGTAGCAAAGGCTTTCGACAGATGTTGGCATATCGGAATTTTATTCAAGCTCATGCGACTTGAAATTTCGGCTAATTTTGTGCACATAATGCACTCTTACCTCACTAATCGTACCTTTTCTGTTAAAGTTAAATATTCTGTCTCTTCTCCTCGCCTATCCTGGCTGGGGTGCCTCAGGGAGGAATTCTTAGCGCTACGCTCTTCAACTTGTATGTAAATGACATACCACAAACACCAAGTGTCGATCTAGCACTCTATGCAGACGACACAGCCATCATTTCACAGCACTCAACATTACATGCCACTCTCAATCACCTACAGCTGTATTTAACAGACTTGGAGTCCTGGCTCATTACCTGGAAAATCAAAATTAATGTCGCAAAAAGTGCCGCCACAGTTTTCTTTTCCAGAAAGAGGAATGTCCATAGTCAACTCTCCCTCCACTCAGATTATTGATGAAGAAAATGTACCCTGGGTGGAATCCTACAAATATCTGGGAGTATATCTAGATGCGAAGCTGCTCTGGAATACCCACATCAATTATGCCATATCCAAAGCTCGTACTACAAGAACTCAACTGATGTCCCTTCTCAAAAGAACCAGCAACCTCTCTCTCAACAACAAGATCCTCCTGTACAAAAGCACCATCCTTCCGATCCTGACCTACGCAGCTGTCGTCTGGTCGACTGCCGCCAATAGCCACCTGAAGAAAATTCAAGTATTCCAGAGCGTCACGCTTCGTATTCTGACAAATGCTCATTATTTCGTCCGTAATGAAGTGCTTCATAATAACGATCTCAAAATTCTTCCCCCCCTTGATGCCTTTTTCAGGCAAAATTCGGCCAAATTCTTTAATAGATTAACACAGATCGAAAACCCAGTCTTGCACTCACTTCCTGCTTATGACCCAGCTGAGCCCAGCTCAGCTAAGCGACCTAGGAGCGTTCTTGCTAGAACATTTAACATCTTTCCTAGGAAGCCAAAGCGGAGGTGTCTGCTTGACTAGGAATTCTTTCTAAAAATTTTTTTAAATTAACAAGCACTTCACGGGCCTAACCCGGCGACCCTTAACTATTTCTATACTTCCACATGCCCGCCGGACCTAATTCGGCCTGTTTTCTCGTTTCTCGGTTTTATATCCGTGCTGCTATAGGTAACATGCTCCTCCACTTGCCAAGACCTCATCTTTTCATAAAACACGGTCCAGACAATTAAAATCAGAAATTGCAATAGTTTTAAAGTTTCTTAATATTTTATTAATCATTTTAACTTAAACTATTTAATTATTAAAATTTAAATTAATATTCTAATCTTTAAAATCTAACTCCCTTCATATGCTACTCAAAACACTTTTATTATGAATTTTTGTTCCAGCAATCTGCATATAAATATACAAGCTTGCATATCTTCAGTCATCATCTGCAATCAGGTAATTCAGTTAAATCCTGTCCCAATTTTTTTATTTCTTTCCCCTTTTTTTAATCCACCTCTCCTCTCCAACTTAAAACCACTTTTCCTCGCTTCCCTTCCCTTTAACTATCCTTAAAACTTCTCTCCGTCTTTTCTACAGTTAACTTTCTTCACGGTTCTTTCCGCTTCAAAAGTTGCTCCTATTCTTCTCTCGCCACGGGCGGTAGGAGAACTTTTTCGCCTCTTGAATCCTTTTCCCCCCCCTCTTTTCGTTCCACCATCCCTTGCTCCGAGCTTTAGTCGCAAGACTCTCTCCCCCCCAGCCCATCCCCAAGGCATTAGCAACTACTGCGGTTTTCCGTATTACCTAATATACCTTTCCCAAGCCCTGGAAAATTATGTTTCCCGGCTGATTGTCTTCC